CAGGTCCAACCTAAGCTCGTCTTTTTGCTGCAGAGGCTATTCCACACACCTGTTTCTGATCCAAGGGCTTCACTCCTCCCCACAGGCAAAGTCATCCTTTCAACTTCTTTCAGAAAGCATACAGAGCTTCACAACTACTGACAAAGTGCTCCTGCGACTTCACAGTGTGTCCGCTATGTCACTATACTATAGATGCATGCATAAAACTGTGTGCCTCCAGGGCTCCTGTTCAATGCATTTTTAACATCACTCACAGCAACTTTAAATAACAAATTCACTTTCCAAGAGGACTATATTTAAACTCCTTTCTTTCTTATGAAAAAGTTGCTTATTTTATTTGCACATGTGTCATAAATCCTGCATAATAGAACATTTGATTTTTCTGCTTAGATGTAAACAAAAAGACTTAACATAAACGGCATGTCTAGAAAGCATAGCACACATTACAGTAGGGCTGGGTGATGTGAATATAAAATGAATCACAAATCTATTTATTATATTGATCCATTACGATTTTCAATATGATGTCTCATTTAAAACATGAAATGACTTTTGAATATTCTAAACAGAAACAATGCAGAGTTTTAATTTAAGTCATAATTTAACACTAACAAGAATTTCTTGCTCTAAAATCTGAACGACATGCTTTTAATGACTTAAGGATTGACTGTAGATCACTCGATTAAAAAAAAAAAAAAGGAAAAAAAACATGAAACATGACTGATGTTTACAAATGACTAAATCTCAAATGTGTCAAATTTGATTCATTAGCCAACCCTATGTTCAAAGTGTAACATTGATGGTTCCAGCACTAATTATATATCATATATCATATTTTAGGAGTACCAAAAGTAAATAACTAATAAACAACTAAACAGCAAATTTTTACACCTTGGGCATACTCCGAGAAATGAATAAATAAAAAAAATTACATAGATACAATGTAAGTTTGACAAGCAAAGATTCCTTTTGCCTTGAGCCGTACAAAGGCGAGTGCACCTCACATATTCGCTCTCATCCTCAAACACTAGAGGAGACAATGGTCACTGTTGCATTATGTAATGTTCTGCTGTCACTTCACCCCGAAGGACACCACAACAGGGCTTTCCCCTTTTGACTAGTGCTACAAGCCACTGCAATGGATGGTCCTAGATCAAAAGGTGTAGATCTCTGACTGTGAAAAAAGACAGAGGAAAAAAAAACAAACAAAAAAAAAAAACAACAAAAACCTGTGAGAATGCAACAGCCCTGCAAGACGCTGAGACAAGGGCAGCTAACTCAAAGCTATGTTCAGGTTTGAGGGACGGAAAGCTACAGATGAAGAAAATAGCATATATATAGTGACAATGCAGGCAAGCGGATAATCCTGAGATATGAACTTGAGACGTGTTAATGTGTGTGTGTAGCAGGCAGAAAGAACAGGAAGCAGTGCTGGTGTGGAGCGGGGAGAGCGGTGCTGATCAAAGCCCAGTCGGGTGACACCATGGGCGGAGTGCCATTGTTTATTCACCAGCCACCTCTCCCTTTTGGCAGGGCAAGGTGAGCGAGAGTGTGTGTGTGTGTGTGTGTGTGTGTGTGTGTGTGTGTGTGTGTGTGTGTGAGGAGAGAGTTTGAGACACTTCGAAGATAGCGAGTTGTGTGTTTTTGTACTTTTCTTTTGGCAGGCTAATGTGGGCTGGAGCTCTGTCAACATATGCACCACTAAAAACGTGTTCAACTCCAGGCCAGACATACACAAGCTATGTTCTATGGTACAGCCAATAATGTTCCTATTAAAAACCTCCCGCAAGCGCCTGTGTCTCATTACAGAAATACATCCAAAACAATTACACACATCTTTCTAAAGTGCCACGAGGAAGGAAGCAACAAAGTGGAGGATCAACCAGAACACTTCTCCACTGAAGCAGGACAGCACGGGTCAGAGGGGTCCAGTTGTGAGAGCATTTGCACATAATCCAACAGCGCCAAACCAATCTGTGGTAGAGAATTACAGACAAATATACGCCATGTGAATTGTAAGAAGGAGGGCAATCTCAGAAGGATAGCCCCAAGAACTTCATGTCATGGTTAATGTGATTCCCAAAACATGCAAAGCAGCCAAACCCTACTACTTCCTAACGTCCTGGTAAAAGTTCTAGAGATGTGTCCCCAGGTGCTGCACTGTGGTTGCCCAGCTCCTGTGAGGCTGCACTGAGGCATTGGTCAAATGCAAAGGACATGAGGTGCACAAATGTAGAAAAAAATATTGGTGTGCTTTAATAAGTCAAACACAGTGTCTCATGGCAGGTTTGATTGATGAAATGCATGAAAAAGTCCAACAACTGTTACACTTTACTACTAAGATGCTAAGATAGTAGATGTTGAAAATGTTCTTTTCCCATAAAAGGCTATCAGCACAACATTCCTGCTAAATAGACACATGTTCAGAGCTTATAGGCGCTTACACATGCTTTCACATACATATTCCCACGCACACCAAAGCAAATAAACCCTCCTTCTGAATGTCACTTATGGAAAAAAAATGTATAATAAGCATACTTAACTGTACCAGTGTCTAAATGGAGACTTTACAAGCTACAAAGGCCTGCACTGTTAACACCCACATTTGAGGAGTCCAGTACAGTATAGAGCCACAGAGGGTGGCTAAATTCAGGCTAGAAATTGGGCAGAACGGGGCTGGCGAAAGAAAAAAGAGAAGGGACATCTGATCCAGAGCGGCGCGCATTTAGAACAACTGTTTCGGGATTATCCCAATTCAAATGCTGGGCTAACTTTGATGTTATTTTCTTCCCCTCCCATTGTCTGAAGCCCCTCGCTCTCGTGGTAATCCCGGCCCTTTGAAGTGAGCAGCGTGGAAACAATGTGAGCAGGCTACACGCTGCCTCTGACAGTCCACGGACGCTCCTCTGCCATGCTCCCCTTTCTTCTCCTGTCCTTGTGTGTGCAGGCTCAATCCACGCACTTCCTCCGTGCTTTGGTCGCCTCTCAATCCCCTTTTCCTCACTGCCTTTGTGTGACATGTAAACGCTCTCCCATACTTTATTCAACCTTGTTTTGCATTCATTGTCTTTACTTCGGATGCTCCAAACTTTTATTAGTAATTCAGGCATCATTATGATGACCAAACTATTTCTGAAGTTTGTTTCACTACCAGCTTGAAAAAAAAGAAATTAAATCAACCTGTTATAGAGGCACACTAGAGGGCACTGATGAAAACAAGCCATGACATTCAAAAAGGGGCCAGTTTTGATTTTCACACACTGGCAAAATGATTGTCTATCACAGTGTATAAGCTAGCTATACTGAGATTCAAAGAGTTAAGTAGCAAGATTTAAAACTGCACAGGATATATTAAGTGCAATTTCTGTTACAACATAGAAACATTTTCATCAACTTATAATGTCATGTACTCCTAGTTTGATTCACAATTACCGGTATATTCTGCTGTGCTGTTTACTATTAACTTAGTTATTATGAATTAGATATTAGTGTGAGATTAATGTGTACAAATGGCCTGAACAGATGTGCTGTGTCAAAATAAACCGGGTAAGGGCTCACAGTACTTTGAAGTACTTTTTACTTACTATAACTGCTGCAGTACTTTTGATTTCAAGAACTGGGTAATTTGTGAATGATTATACATGACAAACGATCACAATATTACACATTAATTAACGGAAATTCTGACGCATACACTAACAAACACACACGCAGAAGTGAATGCATCAAAGAGGAGGAGCAGGCTCTCAAGGCCAGGGCGGAGGTGAGATGTGTAGGGCGGCTAACCTGCCTCTGCATTATATGAGTATAGTATATGAGGCAGCTGCAGCCCCAGACAGACAAGCTTGTGTTTGGAGGCATGTCCCAGTCCCAGACACAACAAGTCTTTATTTAGTGAGCCACACCCGACCAACTGACACTCAGCTCCAGTCTGGTTGCTAAGGCCCAAGGCAGAATACAAGGCCTGATGATGCAACAGGAGAAACATCTACATGACAGACGGAGATAAGACAGTCAAGAATTATGAGGATTAAAGTGTCTTTATCAGAACATTTTGATAAAACGAGAATAAGAGCAGAATGGTGGTTTAGAGATAATTTTCAGGCACTAGATTGTATCAATGCTACAAATTTAGAATTTGGGTAAACAGCTCAAGACATATCGGATAAACACAACTCAAGCAAATATACACTGTGATTTTATAAGAAGGGCTATCAACAAATGCTGATACATTTCGAAATTGTAGGAACAGAAACCTAAACCACTTGGCCGATCAGATGCAGAGAAAACCCATACATGCAACCATTTAGTATGTAAGCCGGCTATAGCACTCATATATAGGGATGTAATGGTATCCAAATCTCTTGGTACGATATTATCATGATATAAATCTCACAGTACGATATTTATTGTGATATTTTGGAGAGGCTAATGTAATTGTAGATAGGACACTTTTTTGCTTTTAAAATACTTTGACAAGATTTTGGTGTGAATTATTTCCGTCATAATCCCAAGAATTCAAAAAACATATTTCTTCATGTTGTCTACACTGAAATGAATCATGGGATATGTAGTTACCTATGTTTATAAGCTGCTGCTACTAAAAAACAATGCATTTAAGCAAAGGAACTTGTAAATCGATATATATTGTAGCACCCCACAATATTACTGTGAGACTTTTGATGATACGATAACACAATATTTTGGTTATTGTTACATCCTTGCTCATATTTGTTGACGGTGGAGGCTCTGGATGAGGTTGGAGGTGCAGGTGAAGTGTGATGATACTTAATGTTAAGTGTTAAGTAAACCTTAAACTGGCTGGTGTGTGACAACTTGTACAATAAATAAAATTCATGGAGTGGGAGCTGGGAAAGTTATTATGTCTGAAATAGAAATAGATATTTTTTTCCCCCCATGAGGCCATAATCCAACCAAAATTAAATAACGCTTATGGTAAAAAGTTCCACTGTGCAGCTTTAATGTGGGCCATGACTGACCTTGTTACTCTGATCGGCGTGATGGTGCAATGTCTTCCTCTGCTCATCCCATCGCGCGTGGGCCTCCTCCAGCTGCCTCTCCATGGCCTTCTGAAGCCGCACCGCCTCCTCCTTTGAGTCACACACACAGGTCTGGAGCTCTGCTATTAACTGGGGAACAGAGAGGAGCATTTGAAGTCAGTGTGATTGATCAAGGATAAAGGGAAAAATACACAAAAACGACAATGACTAAAGCTTCCATTTTGACCATTTTGCCAATTCGCAGTAAAACTTTGTTGAGAACTCAACATAGATTCAAAAGCATTTGAGTTTTAGTAGATTTATTATGAAATGAGCATTATCCCTAAACTATGCAGTATATTCTCATTACCTTTTTACATAAAATCCATAGTTTATGTATGATTTTTCTTTAAACGAATGACTAAGGTGACACAATCGCTGAGCTACTCGCATTGTATCCACACAGCAAGAAGGTTTCTGATTCTACATGTTTATTCCTGTGTCTGGGTGAGTTTTCTCAGTGTACTGTGGTTTTGCCCATCTATCCAAAACAGGCACAATAGGCAAAACCTTCCAACTACTATAGCCCAGACCAAGAACTAGCTCCTAACATGTTTAATCCAGTGGTACCTGGTGGATAGGTTAATTTCACAAGATACATTTCCTAATGGAGGCAATAAAATGTATTAGACTGTACTGCTGTATCATTCAAAACAGTGGTCAGTTTGTTGATTAAGTGACTCATTTGTAGACCACGCCCAATAGAAAATGTGAGAAAATAAAAGTGTGTTCAAATCAAATATAATTCTACTACTAAAATGTTTTGTCCTACACAAGAATGTACAGCTGCCAAAATCGAACTACTCTGTACAAGCACACAGTCTTATGTATATTGAGAAAAGGCCTTAGAGCAGAGAAAGAGAAACAGGGAAGAAAGAAGGAAGCAAAAAACGTGCTTCCTTTTGGAGACGCTGGATGACTTTGTGCTGGTGAACTTTGCGGCGCACAGTAAGATGAAAAGCGACTGCCTGGGCTTTGAAATCCTCCAGTCAAAATTAACATTCTATTTAAGCCACTGCGAGAAAATGGCAAAGAGGCAAAGATGAGAGAGGGAGAGGGCTGAGACAGTGGCGGTGTATGTGGTGGTGTGGGGGTGCTTGTAGCTTTGGGCCAGACAGATAATTGTTTACCGTGTGCAAACTCCGGAGCACCAGTGTGTGGGAGCGGGTCCGACCACAGGGACTGAGCGAGGAGAGACAAGGCAGACATTAGGCCTATTTTGTCGCCACATGAAAGCAGCAAATAGCACATTATTATGGGAACATCATTTCACAGTGGAATAATTATTTTGCTGTATATGGGATCCCTGAATCTGCAGGTGGAGGGCCCTGCGGTGGCGGTGGAGCTCTCAACCAGTGAACTCAGCTGTCTGTCTTGTTTTTCCAGCATGTATAGAGCAGTCGTTTCTGTCTAATAGTCAGGCCTTTTAAACTCTAATTGGTCTGGTGAGACTTGACTATTTACCCAGCTTGCTGCCATCTTTGTCTAAGGCTAAAGACAGGCTTAGGTTTTCTGCCACAGACACAAGATGAAAAGAGACAGATGAACTCGGGTAAATCTGTTTGTAAACAGAGTGGTGCACGACTAGCAGCTGACATTTGTTCAGCACAGTAGCGTACAATAAAAGATGAGTAATCTCCATTTTATAATACGGGACATCAGATTTGTGCACAAGAGCTGTTCTAAAGACCATTATTATTTAGGAAGTCATAAATATTGTGCATTGTGGAATGGCTCAGTTGGTAGACTATGCAGTACAAATGATTACACCACAGTCTGCAAGGAAGGGTGCATTTCAAATCTAAAAAGGATTACGTAATTTTTGTATTTTCATAATATGGATGGAGATTAATTTCATAATAACATATGGGATTTCTAGCTCAAAGGCGCACTATGTAACTTTTATGGTAGAGGTTTGGCCACCTGCTTGTATTTTTGTTATGCTGAATATGTTATTGCTTTGCCTTGAGTGTGTCACAGAATGGGATTATATTTAATGCCATACTCTGGAATATTTCAGTCCCAGCAAAGCAATAACATTTCCATGGAGACAAATAGGTTAGCTACACAGTGCACCTTTCACATCTGAACATAAACATCTTGCTATTGCTTGAGATTTGCACATTTTGATCATAATTTTTAATGTGCCAATATCTCAAAACATTAAATGAGGAGAGAAAAAAATGAAGAAAAAATTGAAAAATAAGAAGCCTACATCATCTCCCTACAAAAATATTCACAGTGATTCTGCTTGCAACAGTTTTTTTCACTGCATAATACATCATCAAAAAGAATAGAGAGCTAAGAGATCGCAGTTCTATACTATGGCTGGAGGTCACACACAACTGGACACCATTTGTACAACCTAACAACTACGGAAGCGCAGAACTAAATGAGATTTATTTGCATATGTGTTGAACTTTAGCCCTATTCCTCGCTCTTCTAATGCCCTGGCTCTTCCCATGGCAGTTCCTACCTATTCCCAGTGTAGGCAGGCTCGGAGTATTTACAGTAATAATGATCTCCTCCCACCGTAGCCTGATCATTAGTGCTCGACTGGCAAAGTTCATAGGTCACCCTTGAGAACTACTCCCAGCCTCATGGTAAAGAAATTGGGGCTGGCTAATTAGCTTGTCTGCTATAAATACTACTAGGAACCCAAAGTTTAAGGAAGTAGATGTATATCCGCGCGCTTGCTAGTTCCCTCAGAATAATGTATGGTGTGGCACATTTTAATCGGTCCATTAGGCATTGAGCTTGAGTAAGATGCCTGCTGTCAGTCAATGAAGGGTTAACAACTGGGGTTAGCCAATGAGGTTCAGAGGGCTTGTGTTTACATATGGCTGATTTACCCCAAGGGCTCAGCAGCGAGATCCAAACAGAAACCTTTTACAACAAAGGAAGCTATGACTAATCAAAGCCTGTGTTCAACAGGAGCTAACAGTATTGTATTTCATTTGGATAGGACAAGCCCTGTGTGTAATCCAATGGGATACTGCACCAAGAATCAATTATGGGAAAAAAAATTATAATAATTAAAGTTTATTTAAAAGTTCAGGAACTGGGAACATTATGTTGCTAAGGTCAACTTTGGATATCTTCTATAGTGGACAATTTCTCCCATAGTTAATACAGGTTTGAAACAGCTCATTACAAAGAGTATTGCCATGCAAATCAAAATAGGCACTAAAAGCTGAATTTAGCTTTTTTGCATTTTTTTTTAGAACCACAAGTTGGTACATACAGTTAAAGACACAAGTATAGGAGCAGTTATAATGTAAGTTGTTTGTGAGGTTGAACAATGAAATTATTATTAAATCATTATTCATTTCTGTTGTAATCTTGAAGTTCAGTAAAGACTGTGTTGAGCTCTGTGTCCCAAAACACAGGATTAATCACTTGTTGCTGCTTTGAGAGCGTCTGTGAGAAGGCAAACATGGCTGAACTTTAGCACAGTGTCGCGCTCCTTTTGATGTGGAGAATTGTGTAACCTAATAAGCTACTGTTTTCTCACATCTGCTCGTCAACCCTCCTTTCAACTTTGCGCCTTTGCCAGCCTACCTCAAAAATGGTTATGTTAAAGAAAGGCAACAAATCACTGCTAGCCAGAACCATTTCTTTACACTAACAACAAAAAGGTGTCTATATCTATATCGATCTATATCGATAGCTATAACTATATATATATATTTGTCATTACAGTTAATACAAGGTAGCTATTGATACTATGACATCACTGGGGGTCTTCTACATATCTTTAATGGTGCAATGTTCAGGAGTTACCATGGTTACACAATGCACACATTAGTAAAACCCTGTCAAAAAAGTGTTAAGATTTTCTGAAAAAAAAACCCAAAATGGATTTAAACTACACATTTTCATGACCCTGTGATCAATGCACGATTTTCAACAAAACTGGTGATTGTGAAAAACAGTTGGCTAACGTTAACTAGCTTGTACCAGCAATCTTATGTGTGGGAGACTTCTTTGACAGCACAAATCAGCTCACCTGTTGTAGGTCCAGTTAAGTCAGTTCTTTATGGTCAGATTATGTTAAAATAAAGCACAGATTAAAGTCAAATAAAGCCTCAGACAGAGCAGAGCCTACAGGGAATGCTGATGACATCAGCTGCAAAGTATTAATTCAGACTAGCAATTACGGTAATATGTAATTAGAAGTGGGAGATTAACAAATGTATGATATTGCCATTGTTTTTAACACGCAAAAGTAAGAATATAACTAACAAAAACTTCAAAATGTGTAATCTGTATTTGACCCATGCTTCACTGCCACTGGGCTGGGAGAGGTTAGTTGATGTTTAAGTGTTGTGCAAAACATGAATAGGCCCAGACATTTAAAGGCTGATGAACTACTTCTGATGAACTACTAAAATACTGATTGATTATTAACATTAACTTGTGTTTTGAAAAAAAAAATAAAAAATGCATTAGAGATACTGTTTGAGTGCATCTTCTGTCCATTAGGGGCAGTATGCTTACTTACCTGCTTCACTGCATCTGTGCTCTCAGTGAAAACAGGATGAAAAAGGGATAAAGGGGAGAGAGCAAAGTCCTGGATGAAAAACATGATTACCTGGGCAGACTTGGTGAGCTTTTGACTGTAGTCCTTCTCAATCTGCTTCAGCCTGCTGTTGGCCTGCAAACAAGGAGGAGACTGTGAGATGGAGATATGCCTACAAACACAACATAGCACAAAGTTATGAAATTGAATCTTCTGTCAAAAAAAAAAGTGAAGTCATACATAAAAAATAACCCAAAACTCGCACACGCACACGCGCACACACATTCACATTGATAGTGACCCCTGTGTGTCAGCTGGAGTGGGGCCAGTCCCATGTGGACCAGTGACCACTGCTTACTTTGATTCTGTGCCAGCGCTCCATCATTTAACAAGAAGGGTGCAGGGGCGAATTAGCATGTTACTGCCAATTAGCTATTTAAAAACCAGGGGTGATCGAAAGAGGCATGACGAGACAAGAGGGATGAATGGAGATTGTTGGTAGGAATTTATAGAGCTAAGCTACATTCCCTTTTGTTTTGTGATGGGAACCAAGCCAGCTGGAAGCCAAAGCTGCAAGTGTGTAACAAAAGGACTTCTGCCACTTAGTGGAGTTGTGTTGCCAATTTAAGGGAGTGACTGACATGTTGTTGTAGTGAAAGTAGCATGTAGTAACAGTGTTTCCCAAAGATTCTATTGAGACCCTGTCTACACTGGCACAAATGATTTTAATATCATGCAATTTGTGGAGTATAAATGTTGGTTACTGAATATTTCACCTTTAAGCAGTCATTTTTTAACTGTTTTGTCACTGTTGTATGTTTATGATAAGATCAAAGAGTAACAAGATCTAACTTTGTAGTAGAAAGCAGTGGCATAGTGATATGTTGAAATATTCATTTCAGGTATTTTTTTTTTACATCATTCATGTGAGAAATCCCAGTGGTCTTTGAATCTTTGATTAATCTACACAATACATGATCCATCTAGATTTAATCCTGTTTTTTCAAAATCATGGTGCAGAAAAACGTAAAATGTTTTAGGTTAAAGAAGAATGGACTTTTCATGTTTGTATGTTTAACAGATGAGACCACCTGAAAATACACACAGACCCAGAGTGCTTCACATTCTGATATTGACAGACACTGACAGACAACTCTCCTTTAAACACAGTGTCATTGAACACATCGTGTGCAGCCATCAACACCTAAACTTTGGAGTTTTACCAAACACTTCCTGAGAAACTCCCATGTCCGACGTGAGCAGACACCTGTCACCACAGCAACACAAAGCCGTTACCGTGGAGCTGGTGCAGTGTGTTGGCGCAGGGCAGGCTGGAGGACAGACTCGTCCCCTGAGCCTCGAGCAGCACAGCAGGACGAAAACAAAGAAGTCTCTTATGTGAATGACACACGCCATACTCTATTACTAAAGCACAAAGAATGTAGGAAAAGTAATTGAGCTAAAGTAACTTAGTTGATTGTCCCCCAATGTAAATCCAGTGTTTGTGTAGAGCCACTGAATAAACAGCTGGCTGATTGAATGTCCATGAGGAAACCCAGAATTCAAACGTGATATGCTCTTGAAATAAGTAAATCAACAAATCGAAATTGCATTAACTAATTGGCCCCAATATTGGACAAAGTGATATAAGAAAAGTATTAATTATTTTTTCCATATTTATTGATCAATCAGGATTTTTTATTCAATTTCATTTTTTGTAGTTAAAAAAAAAAAAACTTTCAGTATTTATGTTTAGTATCTTCTGAGCATAAAAAAATATATCAAAATTCTTCTTCCAAAGTCTGAAATCCAGTTCCAGTACACAAGCCTTTCACTCACACAGGATTGGCTGTTGACCTCTTGATTGAAGAGGTCTGGTTTGGATTAATTGCACAATTATAAACCTCCACATAATGTAATGCAAACAGTATTCTTTAATTGGCTGTTTCTTTCTAATGCACATCTCTGCAAAGCCCTATGTTGGTGTGGATCTTGATTAGTTGGAAATGTAGTAGTTTTTTTCAGATTAAAAACTTAAAACAACAAGCTATCCTCTTATGGAAGTCCTCTTGTATTTAGAGAGTCCGGTAGATCACAGAACGTCTTAGAAATGAAAATGAAAACATCAAAGAGACTGATTAATAAGAAGATATGCACTCCCCAACTCCACTGCCTCTGAAGTAGTGAGTTATGTGGAACTTTATGTACGTTGAATATGAGTCAGCTGACATGTGAGTATACAAGGAAACATATGGACCCATTGACATGCAAACAGCTTCAGATGGTTCATAAAAACATAAAGCTACTATCTTATTCCTTTTTACCTCCACTCACTCATGGGAATTCAGCAGCAAGCACTATGCAACACCGTGCATTATAAAGCCTTGCAATCTAAGGAGAGGAAAAATAGCTTAGCAGGACTGTGACGATTACAAAGGCAGAATCATAGGTAAATTAAAAACCCAGGCGTATGTGTGCGAGAATGTGTGCGCACTTTCAAAGAGTCTACCTGTGCCCTGCCAAAGGCGTTTCAGAGCTGCAGGCACTTTGAGGCTGTATCAGTCTCTTCAATCGGCCCTTAATCCTAGCGCGGTGGAGTGCGCTAGCTTTGAAGTGTGTGGCTGTGTGTGTGTGTGTCTGCGCGTGCACATTAGCGATTGTGTGAGCGGGTTAAAGAGAGTGGAAGTGGATCTGAAGGCGAGGCATGCACCGCTTACCAGAACTTAATTAATAATCTGCAAAGGGAAGCTGGCCAAACACACACAAGTAAAAAGGAAAGGAAAAAAAAGGGTGACAACTTTCTCCCTCACGCACACACACAGCTGAACAAAGATATGCACACAAGGATTACTTATTCAAACACAGACTCCGGACAAACAGGATGCATATGAAAGCGGAGCACACTGCCACACTTTGAGAAATTACTGTTTAGAAATGTAATTGACTTAAGGTGTGCGTTTACAATCTTTGGTTGGACACATGATCCATTACTGAGAGGAGGAACAAACTGAAGTGGGCATTTTTCAAGAGTGCAGCCAGTGAAAGTGTGTAGTAGAAGAATGGGATAGAATCTGTATGACAAATAACTTTCACATTTTCATTTATAAACAGCAAAAAAAAAAGGAAAAAAAAAAAAAATGCATAAATGAATTACTTATATATTCTCTGTAAGTGAGGTTGCGATAATGGTTAAATAGCTGTTCCAGAGTATGTGTTTGCTTTGGTATTCTGCTCATTATGTGCTGTTGTAAGAACAGGGATAAGCATCTGTGAGTCTACACATTATCAACTGATCACAAAAATGTTCCAATAAACAAAGTTGACATATCATCACACAAATCTGAACACGTTAATTCATGTTTCTTACCTCTGTATAAACTAAATGCAAAATTATGCCAATGTTAATAAGGCGATATGGCAAGGTCACAGGAAAAGTGCATGGTCTTGGCTTGCCAGACTACCTGAGAGAAGTATGGGTGCATCTCGAGTGTTTACAATAACGTTCACTCAAACAGATGGGATTTTGTAGAGTGGAACATTTTGCAGACAAAACAACATCTTTTACAGTGTAAAAGTAGTATTGTTGGGGACATTGTAAAAACTAAAATTATTTCAGACTGTAGCCAATTCCACCCACTCTATCTGGCACGAGGGAGCTGATTTGTGGTTTTCATTCCTCGAAAACAATATTAAAATCTGATTCAAAGTGAAGTTTTTCTCCCACCGCTCCGTCACATCTTCCTCTACGGTGGCATCTGTATTTGTAAGCATTCAAAATGATTCTAGTCCTCACGAAGCGCGCCTTTCACAACAATTGGAGTTCAATCTGGCATCGGGGAGAGCAGGGAGATGTTATGTGCTAGTTTGTCTGTAATCATCGTGCCTGGGCTGTGTGCGACAAGAGGCTTTGTTTCCATTTCATAGTTTGCCATCAGTGCCTGTCAGTAGTGATTCTCTTCATCGCCACTGCTTACTGTCAATGGAGCTTCACACACACCACCAAAAATAATGTGTCATAGATAGACAAACAAACATGTGCCATAAATAAGTACTGTTTACTGATACTAGGGCAGCGGTTAATGCTATCAGGAAAGCAGTTATATCGACTGGCATCAGAGGGACAGGCCCTAACCTTCATGTTGGAGAATAAGATAAAAGTAAACTAGCTAAAGTGACTGGTAAGAAAAGTCTACAAAAAGGTCTACAGAATATTTTGGAAGATTAATGCTGACCAAATCTAGCTCAAGATCGTGAGATGCTCCTGAGAGGTTTTCCCAGGTGCAAATGAGTACAAATTTCCTTAGTGAGACTTATTATTAAATACTATTACAATACCTCAATGACCAACTCAATTTAAATAGTTTTGATAAATGTCAAGTGGTGCACCTGTAATTTTATGTATGTGTTTAAGATCACTTTACAGCATCAAGTTAAATACTTAAATAGTATATTCCAATAGTTTTATTTGTCAAGATTTGTGCAAAGGCAGCAGTATAGCACTTATATAATATAGCACTTAGTGATTTATACTAAATATTTGGAATGTTTTGCATAACCTTCTAGCTCTTCTGCATCTTTTACATCAAACTGTTCCTCGCTCTGAACTGTATCTCACCCCCCCAAATTGAGTTGACGACAACAGTGTCCCACTCAAAACTCCTCCTCAAAACTAAAGTGTAATCCATAGCACACAACACGGTGGGAGCAGCCTGACGCCATGTTTTAATGCGATTGAGAAAGTGTGTCGTTCTCCTCCCTCCTCTTGGATGACTTCAAAAAAGTGAGCCAGGGAGCTGCTATGTGATGTTTTTTTGGGACGCCGCAGCCTTTACTTTGACTCTTTCATCTGGAGAATGACTCACCCTCTTTCTCTCTCTTTCTCTCTCTCTCTCTTTTCGCTGCCGGGCCCAAAGCGCAGCTCAGTCTAGGCATGCGCATATATGCACACAAACACACAACACATGTCCGTACACAAGCGGAGGGAACACAACTCTTAAACCTTTTCATGTGTGGTTTGACAGAAGGCCATGGTGTAAACATATACCAGTGGCAGACAAAAATCCAGATTCAAATAATACACTACCTCTGCTAAATAAACATCCTAAACTTAGATCTTTAGTCCTCAGATTTCATTGTCTCTCATTAATCTGTCAGAGTGCATTGACTGGAAACGCTTTGATCATATGCTTCGCTCGTCTGCATCTAATCCATGACAATCTCAATAATGTGATTTGGTGGATTTCCAAAATGGCATCGCATCAGCTCAATAAGTCAGCATTGACAGTGACAAAAACAGAGAACAAGACTCATGACAACAACAGCGTCAACAACCCCGCACCACCTTCTTCCAGCTGACAGAAATAACAGCTGTAACTGTTAAATCTGAGCTTTTTTGTGCACTGGGATCAGAGCTGCAGTGAAGAGTTAATATAGATGTTTTAGAGTTTCAAGAAATTGTTGGTGACTGTGCCTATACTAGAAAAACAACTCTGTCAAAAGATAGCAGGAGTAACTCCTAAGTAACGTCATTACATACTACAGAATACCATCTGAACACTATTCAGAACATGTGTGTTAAGGAATGTCAAGGTACTGTGATTAGTGCATAGGTATCATAAATAAGCATGTTTTACAATTAAAACATTTTGAAACAAAGTAAAACATGAGAGAATAATCATTTTTGCATTAAAAGAAGAGCTTCAAATTCATGAAAAATTGTAGGGGTGTAAAGGTGCAACTATTCCGCTTGTCTACTAATGGAGATGTTCTACAGTATGGGATTGAATGGGTATATCTTCAATTTATTTTAATACAGCTGTTACTGCAACAAAAATCTACATACATTTAATGCCACAATGCAATGTGGATCATTCCAGGTAAAGCAATAACATGTCTGGTGGTGAGCCAAGCCATATAATTAAAATACAATAATTTGTTTATATTATTGAAATACAGTATTCTGATTATGTAGTAAAAACACTAAAAGGTGCTGACATATGTAATTGTCATGAATGTCAGTGCTCAAATCTCAGTTTCAGTTTGTTGCCGTTTCCTTTTGTCTGTTCCAAATGAGTCTTGCAGCACATGAACTAGATGCAGTTGATCTTCTCATGTTTTCCACTGAGACAGTTTGGGTGGTCTGATCACAAACTATGAGCTCTAAATACGGATCAAAATATAACAAGAAAACATTGAATGACTTATGACTCATTCGCGTGAACCACATTTGACGGTGGTCAGGGACAACATGCATCCAAACATAAAACTAAACACTGCAGAACCAGATGGCCACATGAAAAAGCAGCACTACATGAGAGGAGAACAGCTAGGATTGTGAAGAGTGACTAGAGCAGTGGGAATACATGCACCCCACTGTTATGGAAAAGACAATAATTCAACAATACTTAAACTAAAATATGAGAATCTTCTTTTCTTTTTGTTCCACAAAATGGGAATCCAAAAAGTGCAACTGTTCCTCACTGCCCCCGTGTGGTAGGAGTCAGTGTGGTCAAAATACTAACATTTCAAACTATTTCAATACTAAAGAAAAGGCCAGATACTCCAAACAGATTTGAATACTACAGTGATAATTCTGCTAAGATGATTTCATTTTAAACACAAAATAATAGTACTTTATATAAGTACTACTTTTATGTCCTTTTATAATGTTTCTGATAAGTGCAAGATCATTCTAAAACTTTTCTGCAAATCTGATCGTGTACAGTGATTTTATTCTAATGCTGATATGTAATCAAATGAGTATCTACTTGTATTTTCATATTATTCTGAACTTTGAATGTTGCTGTATACCAAATACTGAAGCTGTACTGTAGTAGTTACATTAATACAAGTTATAACATCTGCACCTGATGTGGCTGGGGGCACAGTGACACAGGTGACTGGTTGCTGCATGCCAGAAAGTCACTTCCTGGTGGAAGTTTGCCTCTAGGGCTCTTGGTCACACTTGGTTGGGGTTTGATGAAATTCCCTTTGATCAGAAGTCATGCAGGGCCGCACATTCCTGCTCCACAACTTGCATCAAGGCCCATCGGCATGCTGTGCGGTCAACATTCACACCAGCTAATCTCAACCACAACTTGTGAGCAATCAAACCACATACTTAGAGATAACGCATGCAGCAATTCAAAGAGATGTACAATTGAGACAAAGAGTAAACACGAATTCAAAGTTCAGACATTATTCACGCTCTATCACACGTCTTCGGCCCTTGTGATCTTTTGTGTGAAATTATCAAAGATCTGAAGCATTCACAAGCATGAAGCAAGTGGTTTGCAGGCATGTGGAGCAAACAAGGTGAGGTTTTCTGCACTGTGAAGATAGGCTTGCTGAGCAATGTCAGCAAGCTTCTACAACAAGTACAGTGAAATATCTGAGCAATTGTGTTCAAGCAATAGATTAGGACACTTTGAAGGTGCATTCTGCAACTGGTGGTTCTGGTAGCGCATCTGCTACCTGCTTGTCTCCATGGAGATATTATTGCTTTGCCACAAATGTTTCATAGCATGTTGTCTTTTATTCATTCAACTATTTATGGCTAAAAATGTTTCAAAATCATTGACTCGTAATTTAGTCTGGTTGCACCACCTGTTTCCATAAAGATAGAAAAGTTTAATGCCATACTATGGCAGCAATAACATCACATGGTGGACCCTCCACTAGAAATGTGCACCTTTAAATGCAGTATAATTAATGTTACAGTAGCATTCCACCAATACTGAGTCCTACAATATTTTGACTTGCCACTTCCATGTGAGTCATTCCAGATTTTTAAACACCACCAATTTTCATTTTAGACAAGTTTTGAGCTTTGCCACAACCAGACACTATGGCAGAGGAAGGTGCAGATAGAATGTGATGGACTTTTGAGGTGTGGAGGAGCATAGATACAGGACTCAAACAGCTCAAATCCTGTTAAAATGTCTCTCGAAGATGGACACCTCACAGCTCACAGAAGAGCGCACAGATTGGGAGCTGTGTGTTCATTTTCAGCACAGAACACGGCACACATGTACACACACAGACACATGCACGCACACACACACTTACTTAAAGATAAACATGCACCAGACCACAGCCACACACTTCTAAGTCTACCTTTATCTGTGTTTCTTCTTTCATTTCTGTAGAAGTTCAAACATATAGAACTATCTTTGTGACTCATCTTATCTCTTCTGATTTTCTGTTCCTTATTATTTCAGTCAAACAGTTCTAGTTCCAAAAAAGCAGCCCCATGCCTCTGTGTGTTTGATGAGAAACCATTCATGAATTTAATGGATTTCTGCTGCCTTTTTAGTGGGATCTTTCTGGGAGATGTGTGAAGCAAAAAAGGAAATGCTGCCCTGCCCAAACTCAGCCTCCGAGACCACAGTGGACTGCAGAGGACAGCAGTTCTGTCTGCATCAAAAGAATGAGAAATTTCCACACACATAAACTAGTCAAAGTCCTGACAGACTTCACTGTGAAATAAATAGGGAGAGACCAGCAAATGCAGTGTTCCTATGGCAGCTTTGGAGTCAAACTTTAAGATTAAAAAGAAAGTAGAAAAACGCAACAACTACAATTGCAACCGAGGAATAGAAGAAAATAAAAACATTACTTTTTACTAAGAACTCTGGTGGTAGTGTTGGCCTTTTGCATCTGGGCCATTTTGGATACAGTATAAAATTACAGTATGCAGAGGAACTTTGAGGTATTCTGTCCCCATGCAGGTTTCCTAAAAAGATTGGATAGGAAGTTTCAACAAGGATCAACCCATAAGTACACTTCATTCTTTCTGTGGCTTTCTCTTTTGTAAGCTCTGGTCCTGTGTGCCAGATGGAGTCAAAATGGCCGCTTTAAAAAGTTCCTGAATTCCGGGCTAATGCTGCACAGCTGGTAAAGACGGTGTCTAATGAAAAAGCAGTCTTTGAAGGGTCCAACATAGATTATATTCTGATTAGCACCACCTTAGGTCAGTTTCCAGTCAGACCAGCACAGTATTATGGGTAATTTTAAAGCCTTTAATCAGGTACAGTGGTTAGTAGGTAAGACAGGATGGCAATAGCAAGTACAGCAATTTCTATAAACAACAAACAAACAAAACAAAAACAGTGATCTACGATGACCTTTGTGAAATTGATGCCATTTAAAGTTTACTTGAATTCACTTTGATGAGCGACGAGAATTTTGACGTGTTTGCTGATAATATGGGATAACAAAACATGCTGCCCTCTGCTGGTCATTCACCTGTTCAGTCAGATAATGTTATTAAGATTGAAAATAATGCAAAGTATCTTGTTAGGTTAAAAAAAAGATTGCTAAAGCTCAAGTGATAAATGGAGTGAAACAGCAGGATCATTCTATTATAGAGCAATATGCTGACTCAGCTGTACAAATAAGTAACGTTAACCTACTGACTGCAACAGAAAGAATCCTATGAAAGTTTGTGTAGCTTTAATGGGGCACAATAATATATAGTTATGTTGTGGTTATGTAGCTCTAACAAACCCACCTGTTCTAGGGCAGCATCGTGCTCTCGCTGTAGTCTTCTCTCTAAGTCTTTGTGGCTGCGCTCCATCACAGAGCGGAGCTGCTCCAGAGCCTCCTCCTTCTCCACTGAAGACTTTTGTTTGTCTTCCTCCAGCTGTGAGGTCATCTCCGCTAACTGTTGCTTGTGCTCAAAGTTGGATATCTGAAGTTCCTCACGAAGACTGGTCACCTGTGTCTCCAAATCTGATATCACCTGAACAACACAAAAAGAGTCTAAGTGTAATGTAATGTGTCACAAAGCAGACACCCCAGCCACCCAAAGGTACCATGAATTAGTCCCCTCAGTTTTCAGAAATCTAATTTTTGTTGTTTAAAGCTTAGAGGATAGGGGGTCCACCAACTGCATGTCTTCATAAAAATAGCTTTGTGTATCTCCATGGAGACAAGCGGATGATGCCAAGAGGTCAAATGACAGGTTAGTTCTGTTGAGGGGCAAGCATGTTCGCGGTAAGAATACATGGTTTTTCAAATTTATCAATACCTGCGTGTGGTTTATTGCCACACTGAGAAACATTCAGGTAAGGAACAATATCTCCATGATCCCCACAAAAGTTACATAGTGCACCTTTAATAATCATGTATCATTTTTTTGTATCATCATCAATGAAACCACATCTTTATGTCAAATACTTAAAAGTACAAAACATGAAACATCTTTTGCGTACCACCAGCCGCAGCAGCCACATCCGGGCTTCCCTGTTTCATCCTCCCTCCGCTTTATTGCACACATTCCTCAGCTATTGCACATCCTCATTTACTCGCCTTGGTTTACTGCATTTATTTCTTACTCGAGTTTGCACAGCCGCCCCTCCGCCCCCCTCTCCTCCAAAGTCCGGGCATCCCAGGACAACGCCATGTTAAGGCAATCAGAAGGGAAAGTGTCTGAAGTCTTTTTTAGCGGGCACTGGGGAGAATCAAAGAGACTTCAAAGCGGTGTCACAAAAAACAGGCAGATGCTCCGGCTGCGCGTCTCCTCTCTCGCCCTCTGCCCGTTGGCACTCACGGGGTTGGATGTGCCAGTGCGTTCACATGCATAGTCACGCATGATGCTGCGGTCACGTGACTACAACCACATGCGGGGCAAAAAAACAAAACAAAAAACAAATACATAATTTTCCTGTCTTTAACATTACCAGTATGCCCCACTTGCGCCTTCAAGGGCAAGCAGCTATTAGATCAGAGAGCAGCCTTTAATGCATAATTCTCTCTTTAACAAATGTGCAAGATCTCTCTGCCAGAAAAATCTTTTAATAAGTCAGTGGGTAATCTGCCAGAACAGAGGCACTGGCGGTGTCACTTTAGAAGATTTGAGAGGCCAAAGAAGAGAGGAGAGAAAGAGAGAAAGAGAGAAAGAGAAAGAGAGAGCGAGAGAAAGAGAAAGAGGAAGAGGAAGAGAGAGAGAGAGAGAGAGAGGGGAGAGAGAGAGGAAGAGAGAGAGGAGCAGAGAGAGGAGGGAGAAAGGGAGGCAGAGAGAGAGGAAAGAGAGGAAGAGAGAGAGGGGCAGACAGAAGGAGAGACAGAGTGAGTGAGAGAGAGAGAGAGAGAGAGAGAGAGAGAGAGAGGCAGAGAGAAGGGAAAGAGAGGAAGCGAGAGAGGGGCAGAGAGAAAGAGAGAGAGTGAGAGGCAGAGAGAGTGAGGAAAGAGGAAGCGAGAAAGGGGCAGAGAGAAGGAGAGAGAGAGGCAGAGAGAGTGAGGAAAAGCGATAAAGAGGAAAAAAGAGGGAGAGACAGAGAGTAAAAGAGAGAAAGGCAATAAGAGATAGAAGCAAGGCAGAAAGAAAAAAGAAAGGAGAGAAAGGTGAAGAGAGAAAGAGACAAAGTGTGTGAGAGAGAGCAAGGCAGAGAAAGAGAGGGGCAAAGAGAGAGAGAGAGGAGTGACACAGAGGGAGAGAGTGACAGAGAGAGGCAAAGAGAGAGATGCAGAGAGAACAAAAGAGATAGAGAGGGAGAAAGAGGGCCACCGGGGAGAGAGGGGATGCAAAGAAACAGAGGCAGTGAGAGTGGCAAAGACAAAAGAGTGAGAAAGTGAGAGACATAGAGAGAGGTAGCAAGAGGTGGTGTGAGAGAGAAAGAGGGGCAGACAGAGAGAGGTGAGAAAAGGAGAAGGGAAGAGGTAGAAAGAAAGGCAGAAAGAGAGTGAGCAAGAAAGAGGCAGCAGGAAAAGAGGGGTAGGCAAAGAAACAGAGGCAAAGAGAGAGGCAAAGAGAGCAGAGGAGACAAGAAAGAGAGAGGAAGAGGCAGAGAATTAGAAAGAGGTAGAGAGAGAGTGAGAAAGAGAGGCAGACAAAGAGAGAGAGAGGATGAGCAGAGTCGACACTTGCTGTTAGCATTCTGATGGGAGGAGAAAGTATGAGGAAGCAGCTCATAGCAACAACAGGGAGGTGTCACGTAAAGTATAGCGGGTCAAACCGTGTCAGCGGAGGAGATTTTGAGAGCATCAGGCAAAAAGGGGAAATGGTAATGTGGGATAGTTCAAGAATAAAAATGATCACATTAACATTTAGATACACTGATCTGGCATAACATAAGCGTCCTGCCCTTTACTGGGGATGATCATTCTGACTACCTGCCCAAAATGTGGCATATAACAACATATTATAACAAGCTATGGTGTATATTTAGATCTTCCAGATTTTTGTTTTAAATGTTACTTTGAGTTGTAGCAGGTCAGATGTTTTCAGATCCCACAAACCAGCCTGTAATTCCCATGAATCTCTTTGCATCATCTGTTTGATAGATACTCACTAGTGTTCGTAAACAGAACTGAATTCTGAATTGTAAAGAGTGAAAACTGCTACGAACATCGAGTCTAATGTTCTTTCAATGGGGTAGAATGGGGGAGCATTAGCCTCCAAATTTCACAAACTATGACAAATCAAAGCTCTCTTAGTGATTGACAACCACTGGACCACAAGTAAGAAACACCAGACCCTCATTAGAAAACATTACCATGTGGAGCAGAGTTTATCAATCTTCTGAATGCTTTTTTTCTATCAATCTTTAGAATGCAGGCGTTCCATTTGTAAACACCAGAAAGGTCTATAATAACATTAAAATAGTTAGTATGCATTTCTATTACCTAAAGCATTAATCCTATATAAGCAAACTGATGACACAGAACACTTTGTAGAGATTAAAATTTGTTGACACAATCTTTAAAACAACCTATCTTACACCTAATAAAAACACAACGAATCACTGAGATAGTATAGGATAAGTCTGACAGGACAATAGCATCTGGATGAAAGAGAGGACAATAAACAGACACTATCCATGGACACTCTGGTTTATTGCTGTCTGCATGTTTTCTTCATGTTTTTAGCTTTGACATGAACTGTCAGTAGCCTCTTCATTTGACTCATCAGAATCACACTGCAACGATTGAAGTGCTTTGAAAAAAAATCTGACAGCATCATTATTTAGCCCATCACGCGAAAGAAGAAAAGAGTTCACTGGAATCTCTCGCTCTCTCATGCCGTTTGAAGTCCAGATGGTGTGTGTTTTTAGTTCGCAAATAGATGTAATTATTCTGAAAAATAACAGCCATGAAATGAGTTTTAAGGTTGAGCTGAGGAGCAGAGAGTCTGAATACTGATCGAAACAGAAGAAAATCCCATAGAATAAAATAAAAGTTACTTAACACAAAACGTTTGATTCGACAATCCGATCTATGCATACTATTAAAATTATAAAACATTTATATTTTTGGAATCAGAGTTAAGTTAAGTAAGGAAAAGACACAAGACTTTTGGCAAGAGGGCCCCAAAATTGTTCAAAAAGTTCCCCTTTCCTCTGGGGTGCATTGATCATCCAAAAACAACAACAACACAAAACAGCTGCAGGCAAACATGCCTCTCAAGCCAGTCAGGTTACACCTCGAACTACAATGGGAAGTTTTCTGTGAAGATTTCAAAGACAAATGTTCTGACTGTTCAGTTACACAGTTCTATATCTGTATCTATTTTTTATTTGTTTGTTTTTAAAGCAAATATGAGCACTTGTTGTGAAGTTGGAGGAGTTTTGAGATGAGGACTGCAAATGTATTGTCAATCATTGTATTCCCTTGATGTGGCTGATGTGTCCATTGTGTTGAGACAGCAGTACTTCTACTTTGGAAAAATAAAATGTTTTCTAAAAAGTTATAATTATTTCATAATACGTGTACAGAATGAAAATTTGAGTAATGTACTGTCCCCTATTGTTGATTTTATAATATTATGTTCTTCGCAAAAGAGACACTGAAACAGTGTTTCCTGCTAGAAAGTAGATATGGCAACTGTACAAATCTGCGAGACTTACAAAAATTTAAATGAGTCCAAATTCTGCTAATTCAGTCTATATCAATGCTGCATGATCGTTTGGCATTTTACCAGGAAGTGAACACACACAAAGTCAAAATCTTACTCCATTTTTGCAAGGCCTGAATTTGAATCATGCTTTCTGCCTTAACAAAGTGACATTACTCGGGCATCAGATCTCTCCCCAAAAACTCCACAGACAAAACAAATACTGAGAATGTGGAACGACTGCTGGAAGTGTGTTCTCTGTCAGAGCCCAGAGATCCACACATTTGTCAAACAACACGTCATTCTGACACCACTAAAGATGGCATCTCCACAAAACCAAATAATACACGAGCTGGTGCCAACAGCAGATATTTCCATAAAATAGCAGGAGGGAGGGAGAAGCACTTTGTTGTTACTCAAACCTTGACTAAGAAAACACAACAGACATTGTAAAAACATTTTCAGAAAGAGACAAAAATAGTATTAAGAACAAGTCTACAGATCTACTATACAAATTGAGTGTTTAAAATATTTCAATCAACATAAAGAATAAAATAATTTCTTAAAGTCTGCTTTAAACTCTTGTGAAGAAACTGAAAATATTAGTATTTTCAGTTTTTCAAAAGAGTCTAAATGAAAAAAAAAAAAAAACTGTTTCATTTTATTATTACTTTTTAAATTTTTACTTACTTTTTAACATTTTTCAATTTGAAATTTATCTTTTTACATTTTGAAGGGAAAGAGGTCATTTTAATGGCCTAAAAAAAGGGGAAAAAGGGAAATATGCCAAAAATATTCTTTATATTTCAATGGTCTCAAAATCAACAATGACAATTTTCCACTGTGTGAACCCAGTCCTGCAGATGCACAACTGGGGTCTGGTTTGTCAAATGGCTTCCCACAGAGCTCCATGCTAGCCCAGGCTGGCGCGAGCAGGACAGAGCGGGTTCATGGAACTTGCTGCAGTTATGGCTGCAAAAGTCCATCTAGTGCTAAAGAAACATCAAGGTAATGTAGTAACATCATTTTCAGCAAGTGATCCAACTCGGTGGTGAAGAGATACTCTTCAAATACACTGTATTATGATGCTACAGTACAATCGCCTAGCGAAAAGATTCCCGCTGTAGCTATACGATTTAGAAAAAGGCGGGTGGGTAACAAGATTTAGTTTTTCATCAGACCAGCGGTTTCGGAAAATCCCATATTTACACTTCATAACAATATATACAATATAAAACGATAAATGTCATAAGTTATTTGGTTATCGCAAGAACGGCATTTTTTTGTACATGTCATGGTAATTATTAAATATTCGATCCTTTAAAAACGCGAAAGCCTGCTGTGCTTTTGAAAACTTCAAAATGTAAGAGTGGTTGTCGGCGGGAGCGTGGCAGGTCAGCATGACTGTATGTGAGAATGGAGATGAGTGGAGACCCCCTACCTGGGCATCGCGCTTCCTCCACTCCTGGGTGAGCTGCTGGTGCTGCTGAAGGGTGGCCCTGGCCTGACGTTCCAGACTGACAACCTCGCGCTGACGCTCTTGGACCATGCCGTCCTTTTCTGCGATGTGCGCTTGCTGGAGCCGCGTCCTCTCTTGCTCGTGTTGCATTCGGAGCTCAGCCATCTGATTGGACAAGCAAGAAAAAGAGACTTCATCAGCCAACACACATTGAGTGCTAACCTGTCGTCATGACAACTTGTCTATCTTTTCTTCACGCAGTCTGAACGTGTCCATAACCAGTGGAGAACAATTGGTCCCATGGTGGGAAACTGAAAAGTTTGTGTGCTTTGACCGAGCGTGGTGGTACGTGTTTACCTCTGCTTGGCGCCTCCGCCCTTCCACCTTTTTCCGCCAATGGAAACGACAGGCCCATAATATCCCACTCTCTCTCTTCAAAACTTCTATTCTGTGATCGCTGTACAAAAAGGAGCAACTTTGGACTATACAAGTGAGCTGGTAGGGGTTAGCCATCTGGCTTCAGTAACTACTCGATGCCCCATGCTATGCGCCTGACAGCATGGGCAAATCGGCTTAGGCAGTGATCGTTAGAGAATCAAAACAAAATGTAGACAATCCATGAAGCTGCAAGTCCTCTCGTGGTAACATAAATTAAACAAAAAGTAGACATTAGTCCCATCATATAATTATTATGTGCAAGTAATAACTTTTGCTATGAATAAAAAAAAAAAAACTGTAGCAAGAAAACAAACTATTCTAAAAAGACAGCTTTGTTACAGTATCAGTAAGGTTTATTGGTGCATTGGCCAATACAGTGCATTATATAGAAAACTGTTGAAAGTTTTTTGTAATGACCCTGTCACCTGAAACCAGTGTGTACTGCTGCACATCTGTGGCTCAGGGCACCTGCTGAGAGGTAAGCTTTGCCAGTGGAGTGTCCATTACCAAGCCCAAGCCTTTCCCAGGCTCTGTCTTGGGCTGCGTCCTGTTCCCATTCACCTCATGGTGGGGGCACCAGTGACCCCCAGTCCATCCTGCAGAGAAGCCCCAGCCAGAGCCTGAAAGGACAGCAGGAGCGTGAGGCCCAGCCTCTGCATTGAGGCTAATCCGGGGCACATTGTGCTTGACGGCACCCTACCTGGCCAGCCTGAGGAGCCTACATCCATGTGTACTCGCTACCAACTCTAACTCTAACTGATCAGTTAGGTTGGTGCAGTAATGTGGTATTAAAATAGTAAAACCTATTTGAATCACAGTGTCTTCCACAAATTCTCACAGCTTTCCATTCACAGTTTGGACCAAATTTGCCACATATTATATCCACAGTGAGGATTTTGGTGTCTCATTGAGCAAGTCAGATTCATAAACAGTGCGAGTTAAGGCTGATTGGATGCTGGATTCACCAAGTTCCTCAGCAGGACGTGCGGCATCTGAAACTCCGAAAGAACATTCGTGCTTCCATCTCTTTAGTGAGCTTGCCCATGGAGAAAACCAAGAGAATCGGAGGTGATATGAGGGCGAAAAATTGTAAAGAAATGTCCGCTGTGAGGAAAGACCGCAAAAAGGCGAAGAGGAAACAAGAGTAAGCAGACCCAGCAAGGAGCCCGACTGTGACATCACATAGACCAGTGCAGTGGAGGATGCTGGGTGCTGCGCTTCTTAAAGGGACCAGCATGGCGCTGATGAGAGAAGTGTGATTTGATAAGAGCACAGCTTGGTTCCACAGATACAGAGTGGTCCGGGTGTTCTCCACAGCACGACTCCTGTCAGTGCCGGCTCACATGGAGGTGCATGAGATGTGTTTTGTAGGCTTTCAGATGGGACAGTGAGGTAATGGGCTCCTTCAGCTCCAGGGGGTGAATCTGAGTTTGTGGAGCGGCAGACAACCAGAATAAGACAGAGTTCCTGTCTTGTCTCAGCAGGGTAGTCCATGAGGAAGATTCTGGGAAGGGGGTTATGAATGACACACCCAGCTCTCCCCTTTAGTATCTATGACAGATGATTATTTAACATTTTGTTAATTGTAAATCACAATATTGATCTACATTGATCCAAAAATCTTTTTATAGTACATCACCAAAAAGTGATCACAAAGGCCTGTGCCGCTGGACCAAGCAGACTGCTCCACCTATGGATAGCTTGTTCATGGTAGCGTGTCAAGATGTTTAACCAAAAGTATATCATGGTTTTTGGAAAAATAATTTGAGAACAAATTGTGCAAGGGGCATGTTTTTTCAGAGTAACTGCACCTTGAGTGTAGGATGATAGAGTTTTGATGCAGGAATTACTGAAACTTCAAGTGAGTTACTGACACGGGGTGGGGACATTGTTAGATTTAAACAGTTTAAAGATCTAAAAACTCTCCAGTTACACAAAAACTCTAAAGACATGTCCTTCCGATGATTAACTGACTAGGAAGGGGGCGGAGCAATATTCAAAAATAAATAAATAAAAATACTATGATATGACTATATATCCGAGACTACAATTGCACGGAGTTCATCCAAAAACTATTCATGCAGAATAAAATTACTCAGAAACTATGCATTTATATAAAGACAGATTAGACTTTAATAATTAATTTAATCTGCCTTTTTATATACATAGATAACAAAAAATACTAAATCTTCAGCTAAGACACTCACAAACCTTTCCTTTCTGCTGTTGTCTCATATAAATCCTTATAATCTAAATAAAATTATTAATCAACTAAGACCAATTTTGGGTGACTAAAAAACATTGACCAAGTATTTGACTAAACAACTAAAGGTCTACAGCCCTAATACTTTGTGACCTCTGAAGTTAAACTGGTGAAGAGAAGGACTTCATATTGTTTAAGAGTTTACAAAAATCGACTTTGGTCTGAGAATACTGCGAACGTTATGAGCTCTTCAGTTATGTTTTAAAACTACATGCTTTACTACTGACTTTCCTATGGAAAATAATCATCCGTGATAGTAGCATGTTTTTAACATCAATCAAGAACAAAGAAATCTACTGTATTAAAGTGGACATTGTTTTGACTGCTCTGAATGCATACCTGTATAACATACAAAATATGCCCCATCTTTTTTCTTGATGTGTGGAGCTCGTGTCAGCCATGGAAACAAAAATATAAAACATACAAAGCCTTCATCTTAGTGTTTTTATCTCAAGACAAAAGCTTTTCTCATGTGACATTAAAACTATGCAGCTGGATGCATCTGTCAAACACATCCCCTTCGCACATAAAAGTACACGATTATCAGTCCAGTCATCTCTTTGATGGCTTTTTTACAATTCAAACAAAGATTTCTATTTATACTCTTTCTAATCAGTATGGTACTAGAATGTCTGTAGTCTTCCAACAATAACATTTTCTACATAAGACAAATTAATCAATTTGTCTCCATCCACCAAGCAAATCAAGAAACTAATTTTGTTATACGCAAGAATGCAAGTGCATTTCATCCACAATTTTCACGCACAAAATCCATCAGGTTTAGAAATGAGTGTTACCATGCTTGTTAATGCATAGGTGTTACGTGGAAATCAATCATGTGGTTCAATATGGCATGGAAGGTGTTATATTCAGAAAATATTATCTAATATGTAACAGTTAATGTCTTGTTTTGAAGAGTCCATGCATCTTAATAACAGTTTCAGAAAAGGTATTCAACTTCTATAGTGCGTCTTACTGACCTGTTGTTCGTATTTGAGGCGCAGAGAATCCAGCTGCTGTGAAAACTCTTTAGCCTGGTTTTCTCTCAGGGACTTGGAGCGCACCAAGTCATCTTCTACTTTCTCCATCTGTAAGTACAACAAAAATTGTTTCCAAACCCTTATTACATTTTACTGAAATAAACACTAAACAAGGGAATAAGGATAAAGACTAGTAATGTATATATAAAAAAAAAAGTTTCTGTGGTTATTGTGCCTTTTTTGGTGTGCAGGTGATATTTTGTACCAACAACCATTGATAACATAATTTGTTAAAGCTGTATCTAGGCTATCCTGTGTGCAACACACTAAAAATGTTTTGATTAATCACTTTAAATCACAGAAGCCAGCTTTGAACTACCAACGCAACAGAGATTTGAGTCCGTATGGTGTGCCATTTTTTTAAAGCACCAAAATAGGGCAGACTTTTATAGTGTATTCGAAAAGTGGGATGATGATTTTCCAATGAGAGAAAGAGTGATGCAGATAATCCATTTAGATACAACATCATGTGCAGAAAGAGTGAGAAGGCAAGATGGAAAAACGGCAAAAACTTTGAAGTACTTTCTTGCAACATTAAAGCCTTAGCGGAGAACGTGATGCGGCCCTGCCTCACGAGTGGAGCTGGGAGCAGAGGAGGGAGAGAGGATGACAGCAAGGCAGAACTCCTCTCTGTCGTGGCTTTGATGTGGGCTGAGGATAAAGTCAGATTGGAGATTGGGATGCCAGCGGCTCAATGAGGAGAGAGGAAGAGCTGGGATAGAGAGATGAGAACAGGAGAAAAGGAATTGGAGGATTGAAGAAAAATACAGACATTTTCCACGCTCAAAAACAAGATATCACTTGCAATTCAAAAACATGCAGCACTGCACGAAGAGAGGAGAGAAAGCCTAAAGCCCACGTGCACTCAGCATACAGGGCATATTGACAAAGAAGTCGATTAGTTGGCAGTATCTATACGCTATAGGCTAAAGATACAGATTAGACTGGATTATGAGAGACTTTGTCGAGGGACATACAGTCCTTTGAAAATGTGTTATTGAGATTTTAGAGATAATGAATAAAACAGATATCTCACTATAAAAAAAAAAAAACTTCAATGAAAAAAGAACAGCAGCAACAAGAAATGCCCCTTTAAACACCATACTCATTATAGTCCCTAATTATATACATTAAAGTCAGTAAATGTAATCTGTTCTTGGTTTAAAGGAAAAAGTGTGTATTTTTTAATCATTAGAATTATTATTTCTAACTAAGTTATAAGTGTTGGGTGGTTGAAAAAGGTGCAGTATCCTTTAAAATGCCATTTAGACTGAAACACAAAAAAGGTTCTTGAATATTATTGTCTGGCATGCAGCCAAATAATAAATATGCAGCCAAATAATTCATATTCCCCTTGGCACTACAATTTAATACATCATAACAGCAATAATTATCTTTATTTATTTAAAACATTCTTAGTTTCACACAGTATTTATACTTAAGCAGGACTGTCTTGTTTCTCTAGTGGGTAACATACCTCAAGTCACTAATCAAGAAAAGAAAGAAATTGTCTAATGAAAAGAAAATTACAATTCTATCATGATTCACACATCATCAGCCCACAGCCCCTTAAAACATTTAGGACCACACTGCGCGTCAGCCTGTCAATACCTCTCTCACGCACAGCATAACACAAAATGCTGAAGAACGCCTATAACCAAACTCTCTTGTAAGACATCTGCTGCAAGTTCATTGTGCATTGATTGGAGAAGCCTCTCAATCAGAGACAGCCCACGCAGCTAAGACTCTGGCCCATAATGTACTAATTAGAGTAGAGAATCAGTGTGTAAAACCCATTCTCCTCTGTAACCTGTAAGCCCGTGTCATGCCTCCTGGGAGGAAGTGAGGTCAAGTGTGGATATGGAGAGGTGTCAAATTTTGTATGTCATTCATTAATGGACACACAAAATAGTAAGTAAATGATATCTCTGAAAAAATATACAGATTTTCAAAAGTGGAGGCATAAGGAGGTTATTTACAGTAGGAATTGAACAAGAGCCCACATTGACCAATCTGCAGTCAGGCTGAGTCAATTATTGTTTTCATAACAATAGTGAAGTCCAGAATTTTGGTTGAATAAAGATGAGAGGTATGAGTGAGGATATAAAACTGCTGTAAAGTAATCACTGGTAGTATAAATCAACTTCATTTTAGTCTCTTAAAGACATATTGTTGATAATTTGGGGCACCACAGGCTCACTGATTAGTGCTTTTCAGGCTCCAGGAGAAAAGGTAGATGTCCCTTACCTGCAGTTTCATTTCAGCATAGGCCTTTTCAGAGCTGACTTCCACCTGTTTCTTAAACTGCTCCAGTGCCACGTCGGCTTGCTGCTTCTGCTGCCTCTGGCTCTCTCTGGTCCTCTCCAACTCTCTCTCTGTGTCCCTAAAGACCAAACAAAGACACACTCTAATAAATGCCAAACATATTTCAAGGAGAAATGGATAAAAACATACTTTAATGTATTTTACCTAAAACGTAATGTGTTAGAAGCAGGAAAGGAGCAAGGACTAAACTGAGGATGGCTGTACATTTGTATGCATCTTGGCTCTTTTTTGGTTTGTTTTGTTTTTTTTGTGTGTGGGTGCTACATATAGGACTGTCATTACAACAATTCAAACTGTGATGTATTGGAGCAGAAAACATTGTGATAAACCATAATATTGAAGCTAATGCAAAAATAAACATGCAGTATTGTGCCTGTGGCCCAGCAATGCCCAGTCTAAGTGTTATGGTGGATGACATACTTGTATATAAGGGTGTGTATGCTGCTCAGTGCCCGGTCATGTGCAGAGAGCAGGGGGATTGACAGGCTTAGTGAACAGCATGGCCTCATACTGAGAGTTGTCAGAGCCCAGCCATAACATCCTCCACTACACAAGGCAGCAGCTGTCAGGCTTAAGCCACTGTGTGTGGGAGAGAATGACAGAGCTGGAGGTAAGGCAGCCATTTTGAGTTGGTATTTTTGTGCCACCTGATAATTTGAAAGTTTCAGCTACAACCACAAACTCCTAAACATAATTATACATACAATCTTTAAGTTACTAGTGTTGAGTTAGAAGTTAGAAGTAGGACATAATAACAAGGGTTCATGAGGAATAAGACAGCTGGTCCCAAGAAACTGATTGGTGCCCAGAGGAAAAATATATGACTAAATGCAACAACCACAATTTGCTTAAAAGTTACAGTGTACCTTTAAACATGGTGGCTCAATTTAAAGAGCACTTGCCTCTTAACTAAATTATCTATAAAGAGATCTTTTTACAAGCCTTACTTAAAAACATCTCTCAATAGACTATCTATTCTTTATTTGTCATCTTGATTTAATACGACATTAATAGCAACATTCAAACCAAATGTTGCCTACTTATTTGCATTACCCAAACCATTCCCAGAAGCGGATATTTTTACTCTAGAGTTGTAAAGAAATTAAGTCTCTATTAAAATAAATAATATTCTGCAGCAACACAACACATGTTTATGAAGACGAGGCTAAATGGAAAAACAGAAACCAAGGAGATGAAATGTGTTGGAATTGAAAGAAAATCATAAAAGGCCCAGCAACAGAACAGGGGCAGAAGAAAGACAGACCAACATTCTTCCTTCTCTTTTTACAGAGCTGTGCCTTTGTAATTTTGGTCTCTCTCATGTCCGACATCAAAAGACACAGAAATTGTTTTTTTTTACTTCTCTCTTTCTCTCCCAATTTTGTGTACTCTGTAATTATTAATCAATCCCTTTGCATGACTGCCTTCTGGGTTCAAACGCACAAAGAATACGTGAGGAGAGATGATGGGAAAAGAGGAGGAAGATGAGAAAGTAAGTTTGAGAGCTAAAAGTATGAGGTGCATAAGCAATCAGAAATGTTTTAGAACACTGTAGTAACTTTTGAAATGTAATATTTTTTGCCTGTAACTGGCTGCGTTGTCTACTACAAGTGGCAAATAAACTATGGCATTTGTACAGATATAACAGATATATCGGGCTGAAATTGACTCTTTTTAGCATTTTGGCCATAAATCTACAGCACAGATCGATATTTTGTTGGGCCCAACCAGCAGCATAAATAGGCAAAAAAATGCAATAAGAAAAATTTGACTATACTAGACTCTACACAGTTTCTAGTAAAAGAACACTGTTGATGAGTCTGTACTCAATTTTAATTTGATAATTTGGGGGAAATAACCTAAATTGTCTCTATATATATTGGCCCAAAAACATCAGCAGAGGTCATTGACCATTCATTCCTCTGGATGTTAAACAATCAGTATTGGCCATGAAAAAAGCGCCTACCGGTCAATCTGTAACATTCAGTATGTAATAACTGGCTGGAGAGGACACTCCAACTTTGACCAATCGACTTTATAAAGTCAGTGTGCGGCTGTCACATTGGTAGACAGTACGTCACCATCAATAAGGTTGTGGTGATGCAGTGATGAGAGGACACAGGGATAGACTGGGAGAAAGCCTGGGAACAGCAAAGTGGGAGGGAGCATGTGGTGCCAGCGATGGGGCGGCCTGCTGACTTTAAAGGGAGCTCTGGTCAGAAAAGTGGAAGGCTTAAATTAAAGATGGGCTGTACTCAGGAGGAAGTCTTCTTACTTCTTAATCCTGAAAGCAGTTTCAAAGTGAGAGAGAAGTGCTTTGGTTTTGGTCTGATAAATGGAAGACTGGGGAGGACAGCGCTTTGGAACAGTTTTGACAATATTAATCATTTGAAATAGGGTTTTGTTCTTTGAAACCATATGAAAAAAGCTGGTTTAAATCCAATGCTAAACTATTAAGTGGTGTGTGGTAGAAGACCAGATTAAATAGGTCAGTATAACATTTTAATTCAGTGACTATCATGGTGTATATGGAATGTTTTTTAAAAGGACATTTAGAAGAAGATAGAAAGCCATTGTACGGATGCAATATGCTCATATTCTGGACAACACACTAAAACAGACAACTCTGCACTACAGTATATATTATTTTACATTATACCTGGATAAAAATGAGTCAAGCCTGACAGAGACAATGCAAAGTCTATACAAAGCTAATACATACATGCCAGTCATGTAAGTAGAGTATTTAGGAGTGTATGGGCTGTAATGTGGGAGGAGCTGCCAATGGGAAAGCTTTGCAAACAGACTAGCTAGCATGTACACTCACATGTGGATGCCTCTGGTTGTAGCATAAAAAGAAGTAGAGCTGTGTGCGCGCGCGTGTGTGTGTGTATGCGTGTGTGTGTGTGTGCCAGAGCATGCTCCGCCCGCGCTCCTGCGTCTGTGAGCTCATCCAAACGGAATGATAACGAATCCACAGACACATCAAAGGGGCCTTCGCCAAAGAAGAGGAGCACATAAAAAGAGGAAAAAAAATGCAAAACTGAAATATGCAGCCCCCTCTGAAGAAAAAATAAAACAGGCTTGGTTTTCATCCGCACATCCCCAGAGAGAGGCAAAAGGAAGACAGAAAAAGACAGACCACAAATAAGTGCGCTCAAAAAGCAACAGTGCAAGGGCAAGAACATACTAAAGTCACAAAGAGACTCAATAAACATTACAATCCAAAACAACTAATCAAAAGTCACTCGGTCTAGAACTGAAAAAGTTGGCATTGTGTATCAGGCTAAATGATGCAACAATGGAGACAGATTTTCAAAAGCTAAACAAGTGTACCCAGAGCTCTAAACCATGGGGTGTTCCCAAGCAGAAGTGGAGAAGCTCATCTCAAATACATAGTCCTGCACCATGTCAACTTTTGAAACAAAATAATCTTGAGTATAACACAAGGAAGAACAGCAAAATTCCATAATAGTTTTTAGCAATACTTGATTGGATGTAAATTAATCAGATATTTAACAGACTAGAATATTCTGCATATATTATAAAACAACCATCTAAAAAGCAATGACCATATTGTAAAAGTTGTGATCTAGTCGCAGAGTCACAGGTTTCAATGCTGGTCCCAAGTCCAAATAGACTTCACTTGTAAAATGAATGGCAAATCATTATGCAAATTAATATGTGTGTATATAATCACTTTTCTTGCCATTGGAGGTTAAATCTCTGTTGTATAGCCTACATAGTGGATAGTGATACTTTGCAATGACATCAGACTGGGGGGAGAAGGTTTCAAAGGCTCCACCACCCACAAAGCGTCATAGTGCACCTTGACAGTTTAACTATGTCAATAAATAAACAATAACATTTAGGCTTAGACATCTTTGTTTGACATGGCTAAAGACTAAAATCCTAATGTTTGCTCTTTTAAATCTTAAAGTCTTAATGTTTTGCAAATGTGCCCTTTCACATAACCAGACATTTTCTCTTTGTTTAGTTGGTCGTATTGAGTTGGTGCTTAACCCATGTTTGAACAACTTTTTCCCACCTCAGCCACTTAGGGAGGGCATATTGACTGCGGCTTTCCTTTATTCGGGATCCATACATCCACCTGCCCCAGCCCCCCCGTCCCGAGCGAGCTGTTGGCCTGTAGACCACCTCCCTCATCCCCGTTGTCATGGGAGAGGAGTGCTCTGTGAGATAAGACCGCTTCAAACACACACATACACACGCTAAATAGCAGCAACTTTCAAGTCTATCTTGTGGCAATAAACATAGTTACAAGTTGAAAGTAACAGCCAGTAATAACAAAAACAACAATGGCTTAAAAGCACTTTCAAATGTATGTCTTCACTCTACAAATACTGTATATAACATAAAAGTTCAGGATAGAATGGAACAATATGCATAGAACAGCAAGGAGATGTGTTGAAGATGAAGAATCATTGTAATTATATGATATGTCAATATAAAAAGCTGAATTTTGAAAGATAAAAGAAAATGTTAGATGTGAAAGAAAAATTTTATCTGCTCCAAAAACTACCAATGAAATTCTATAAATCTAGCTTATAAATGTAAAATTTATATTATTCACTCATTCAAAAAGTGTGATAAAGGCAGTTATATAGGAGGAATAGTAATCAAGGATAGTGAATGAAAGTGAATTAATGATTTCACTACTTTTAATTAAGGTGATAATAGTTAATAAAGTGAATCTGTTTCACTGCATTAGTGAATACTGTTATAAGAGTTTCCTAGAATACATCTCCGGAAACAGATCATCCACATCTCAGCTACTTAAACCAATCATTAATGTGATGTGTTTAAATGAGGATTCTGGGGTCACTGTTGCAAATGGTAGCCAAGCTGTGTCTCCCAAGAGTTCAGTGGCTTTGTTTTGGTCTCCCTTTGTGCAGCATCCCTCCACCTCTATGCTAATGTCCTCTAATGATCTGAGGCGTGTTGGGGATGAAAGAAAAGAAGAAAAACTTGTTCTGTGCATAGCTTTGTAGTTCTTTCGGTTGTTGTTGCTATAGTAACGCAACCCTAGAAGTGAAATTGAAGCAGCGTTTCTTATTGGATGGGATGAGGTTTTTTTTTCTCTCCTTTGAAAATAAATTTCAAAAGTAAATGTTCTCATCCTGGTAACTTTGAGCGTAATAAGAATATCTAGAATTCAGAGGTGTCCAAACTTTTCTTTCACCAAGTGGAGGAGCTCATAATGATGTTTAATACTAACATTATTATACAAACAGTTCAGATGACACAATTAAAGTAGCTTTGACTCAGCCAGTACTTTCTTAAAGGACATAAATGTAAGATATGATATTATGTTTTTTTGTTTGTTTGTTTGTTTTGTTTTGCCATACAAAGGAGTCCTATGATCACCAAGAGAGGACCAATAAAATCATCTGGGAATCATATTTGTTTGTGTCTGTCTGTTTTTGTATGCTTTCTGTATGCTATTTTTAGGCTTTTTGCATTGTTCTTTGCTGCTTGCACAGCACTTTGTAAACATTGTTTTTAAAAGTGCTTTATAAATAAAGATTTATTATTATGATGATTATTATTATATTTGGTCCTGACTCTCCTCTCTAAGGCCTCTAGATGCTCTAGATAAACATATTCATATATTTTAGTACACAAAAACATAAGATAGAATGTGACATACAACTATGGCCAACTCTGAAGGGTTAGGATTTGCTGTAGTGCAAGTGATCCCTTAACAAAGTAGCCATTAGCCAATCGTTTAACCTAAATCAAACAGCAAAACTGTAGCAGAACATATGGACAAGCTGTAAACCCACATGTCAACTATAGCAGAGCTCACAGCTCACAGAATTTGGCACATGGAAGGCATTTTGAACAGTTCTTCTTGTTTAATTTTATCATCCATCCTCCCATCTTCAGAGGAGCACACATCCAAACACACACACACACACAAGCCTCTGCGTGCGGTCTGGCTTTGACTTTGAAGTTGTGCTGGATCGCCTTTAAAGGCCTTCAGTGTTGCCACGGCAGCAGGCAGGTAACAGACATCGGACTGCAGTGTGTAAATGTGTGTGTGTGATTTTGGAGTAAACCCTGAGTACTTAATTAGCTCTGAGACTGATGGTCCTCTCCCCGTGTTTAAGTCTAAATGAGGCAATGATGGGCTCGTTACTGATACCAACAACACAGATAATTTATGCACAAACCAAGCTGTCTGGTGTGGTTACATGTGTCCTCTGGTGTTTGCTGACAATGACATGTACAAAGAAGAAGAAATATGCAAATATGTAGTTTTTGATCAAAACACTTTCACACAAAACAGTGTTCTATTGTTTTTGAACTAAACAAAAAAAAAAGCTTACAGTAGTGTAAGTGTTTTTTCTTTGTAAATGTTTTCCATTTTATGCCTTACTTATTGATAAAAAATATATACAATAAAAATATAATATATTATACTGACACATAACATTAGTTTATTTATTGAGATTTATAATTATATTGTTATATATAAATTATATTTATTTATTTATTAATCATAACATGATGTATTTGAATGAAAAGTATTGTAAGAATAATTTGTATTGTAATTCATAAACCAGTTGTATTTTGAGTTTGCAACATCCTAATTTTTTTATAATTTGCAAATCATATTAAGGTGAACATGTTTCCATAGATTATCGAGATAACTGTTCATCATGATCATAGGATATTAACTATAACTTGTCATAAAAATGTGTTTTCAAGATTTATTTTATTTTTTCCTTCCATAAGATGCTTTCGCATTTTTGTCTACAAGAAAAGTGATGGCACAGGGGCTGATGTTGGCCCAGGCTAAGGATATTAAATGGGCCGAGTCAGCGCTGTGTTTAATTGTGCAGAACACATTCTAGTTTCACCAGGGAATCTGTAATCTGCCTGGGACCTAAACCCAACTAATGTATTCCAGTGCAGAGTTAATTACTGAAGGAATGCACTGATGGGCTGTTTGGCTGGAATCTGCTGAGACCTTACCTTTTAACAGGGTGAGCTTAAACAAAGAATGCTGGGAGATTAGAGCCACAAAGCCACCTGTTTAATACTGTATGAGTAGGCAGTTTGTAGTCATAATTTTAATATTAAGATATTAAGAGTTAACTCAAGAGTCGATCTCCCCTGAGAGAGACATAAACAGATCTCATTCCATTGTACAGTGTGGCTTGAGATGTGACGGGGGAGTGGTGACCAGACTAAATAATACAGAGATATCATTCTGAACTGGCCAGGCAAAATAACCTTAGTTTTACATGTAAAAACACAGATCCAGAAGTAGTTTGTGGTGTCTACTACTTTGTATTGTCAGACATTACCTGAGACTGTCTTCAAGCTGGCCAATCTTCCTCTTAACTTCTGCACGCTCTTTCTCCGCCTCGCTGTGCGTAGCCAGAGCCTATGGGGGAATAACAGAAAAGGAGGTGGAGGTGCAAGTGAGTGCAAGAGCCGACACAATCAAACATCACTCAACAAACGTCTGCTGCCGAGGACTGTAAGCATCTGGAGCGGTCTCTTCTCTCCATCACCCCATCAAATGTATACCATCTGAGCACAGGGCCTCTTTCAGTCCATCTATGGCAGCCAGATGGGCCTTCTTTATGTCAGGAGCCTCCCTAGGCCTCTCAACATGTTTCTTTTACTACTTCTCAAGAGCAGAACAGAGCTCTCAGGGGACCCAGAAGAGATTGTCGATGACGGAGACATTCCCAGACAGTATTTTGCACTTGTGTTAAAGTTTTTATTGTTCCAACATAACAACAGTCTATCATGACGCAAGATCAATATCAGATCTTTATGAAGTTATTATGCCGCAGTGTGAAAATGTAGTTTGAAATGACTTAACCACAACAAACAAACAAACAAACAAACTGTTTAGCCTTTTTAGAGTGATTAGGGCAAAAGGGAAAAAATCATGATGCACCTTCTTCTCCCATTGGATCTCGAGTTCATCTTTTTCCATCTGCAACTTCATTTCCTGATCCTATTGTAGAAAGTGAATAAATTAAGTATACTGTAAATTTGTAAAGCACTTAAACATATTTGCAGTTTTCACAGTCATACCCGGAGTTGTTTGCCTCGAAGATTCTCACTGTCCTGGAGTTGCAGCCTAAGTTGACCTACAGTTTTCTCCAACTCTCCAATCAATTCAGAAGCCTAAAGAAAAACACATTTGTTTATAATTCATGTGCAAGCTTAGAGAAATTATGGGAATTCTTTATAGTTACTGTGACCTTAGCTGCAGACAGAATGTGCTCCTGCTGCAAGTGGCTTATATCTGTTTCATATTTGGTGTGAAGCTTGTCTATGTTCTGTTCATAGAGTTGCTTCTGGTCTTCTTTCTCTTTTTGGAGGTTTACAGTTCTGCATGGAAAAGCACAATATAAAAAGAATAAATAAAGCCTGCAAGTGTGTACATTGCAAGATAAATCCACACTTTCAGACTCAAAGACCTCCTGTTGGCCTCCTGCAGTTCAGCGCTGATGGCTGCGATGTGGATCTCCAGCTGAGCCTTCTCCTGTGTCACCTTCTGCCTCAGCGTGTTCCCCTTTTCAACCTCCACCGACTGCTGCTTCACCCTCCTCTCCAGCTCACGCACTGTTAGCTCCTAATGCACAGCAACACATCACAGCTCAAATCACACTGTTCCTTTGCCCCAGAGCACCTGAATACTGGGTAAGGACAACAAAGTGTTAACAACTTGACTGAACTACTGCAAGCTGTGTAAAGGAATTTGTTTGCTGTGTTTCATATGAATTCTTTAGAAACATTATAACAATACTAATTTCTGTAGTTGTATGTCATCACATGTAATCTACCTATTATAGCAAGTATTCACAGGGAAACTGCATTACTGTACCAAGGACAACCTAAGCTTGGACACTGTTGACATTTCCTTGCAGATAGCTTTATCTGACCTATGTCATCAGAGGTTATAATACTTCCTCTAATGGATGCATGCACGACCAGACTTGAATGGACTGTAGATAAAGTGTTTTGTGTTGCTGAGTCTCATATTGAAGATAAATAAACTACTTTTGTTTTAGTTCTAAACAGTGACAAGAGACTCTAGAAGTCTCTCTGGCTACTTCAGTTATTTCTACAAGTATGATAAATCAGGGACATTGGAAGTAAGCAGTTGGGATATATTAAAATTATAGAGCAACAGCTTTTACTTTGGCCTGCATGATCAGTACCAAGTAGCATAAAGAGTAACTACTGCAATAGCATTAAAAGTGGCTCGTACACATACACCTCTTGAATTGATACCTTTAAAATGTAGAAAAAATGATGCAATTTGCTTACTACTGTTATGGACTGTATGTTTTTCGATTCCATGACATCTTTGAAGACTATGACTTTTATTTCAGATAATGATCAAAGCGACTTAAGCGTTCTTCCTGAAACATTTGGATGAAATGTCCCTTTCCCTTTTTGTCCCATTGTCTGCGTGTCTTTGTGAGTTCACATGTGACAGCCTGGTATGCGGCAGAGGCAGCATGATGATAGGCTCTGATTAAAGTTGGAGCGTGCTGGTTGATCTAGTCGATGAAAGAGGCTGGTGCTGACAGGAGGTGGAATGATGGGAGCTGTGTGTTTGAAAATAGTCAGAAAGCAGCAGCCGACCAACGCAGTGACAAGGTTTGGGGTTGTGATAGTGATACAAGATCTTAGGGAGGACTAGATTATCCCCAGACACTTGGTGAGGACACTTATTTTTGACAAAAGGTGAAAGAAAACCAAGCTTTTATGTCAACTGCCATGCTGGACAAACTTAAAAACAAAATTTACTAAACTGTCTATTCCATGTGGTGCCACTTTAAACTACCATGAGAATAATGTACCATTATCTGTAGAAAACAGTGACTATAGCATTACCAATCCAAGCTGCCTTTATATGGTATATCGACAGACTGCAATATTCTACGAGATGCAGTTCTTTGAAACTCTAGGGATTGTCTGCTCTTAATAATTAAAAGAGAGGCCTATACTACAGGCCCACACTGTCCAGTGTTTGATGCCTCTTAAATGTGGGTCTGTTGACAGATTAAGGCCAGAAGCTCTGTGTGTATGTGCGATATGAGAGAAGCCTGTGAATGCTGATATTGATAACAGTGCTATTTATGAAGCAGCACATTAGCCTGTTCTGTGCTGATGAGCATCACTAATGAAATGTGCATGTTTCCTCTTAAAACCACAGTCTTTGAGAAAACATCAAAGAAAGTGCTTTGGGAGGTGTGTGTTTGTGTGTGTGCCTGCATATCTGCGAGCTCTGCCACTGCCATGAGAAGACTGAATACAGCCGGGATCAAAGACCTTTGTAAAGATGACAGATAGAAAAAAATGAGAGTTGCTCTCACCCAGAGGTTATAGAGTGTCTTTCCTCATTTCCACCACACTGTGAGTCACCGATTTATAATTAAACTTATGACACATGAGTAAACTGAGAATGTACTTAGAGCCAAACATCAGTAGAGATTGATATATAAATACACACGTCTTGTCATAGCAAATCCTGTTTGCCTAAAAACAAGAGATGGAAAGGAAATGTATGTGTGCAATGTTAATCCTTAACAGTTGGCCTTTGTGCCCAGTCACATGATTTGTGGTTGAGTGTACTTTTTCACAGCTTGATGCTTATGTCAGAATCTGTAAAAAAGATGAATGTATCCTGACAAATATTTACATCCTGGGCTTTTGCTGCCAGAGCTGTACTCACGGTGGACTGTGCCCGAGCACTGTACTCTGCCTCCATCTTGGCCAGCCGCAGGTTGGTCTCCTCCAGCAGCTCCTGGATGTTCATGGTGTGCTTCTTCTGTAGTTCAAACTTCTCCTGCTCCATCTCTGTCACGGCGGCATGGAGCTGCAAAAGCACAAAGCACATATCCGCTTCAATTACATGCTACATTTCACTCAGCCTGTTATGTTTTCCATTTCAAATCACAGACCAATTTTCTTTTACATGGCAAAAGAAAGACAACTATCACCAGGGAAGTGACCCCAATGAAATGAGAAGCGACAAGAGAGAATTTCATTTGCCACTCACTTAACTAAAGCAATCACACAATCCACAGAACTGTGCACAGGCTGTGAAGAAAAAGTGCTTTTAAATTGACAAAACACGCCATTTAAAAAAAGAAAACAAAAAACAAAACACACTTCCAAACACTAGTTTTATCTTGCATTAACAATACCTGGACTCAAACTCCTTTTAGTTGCAGGGTAAAAGTTACTTTATGACTCAGCATAACATTTCCAACAAACCATCTTAGACAAACTCCAGAAGAGCAGTTGATATACCAGGCAGCTGAGTCCCTTTTTAGCAAATTGAACATTGTCATCATGGTAGATAACTCTCCCCATGTCTTTAAAACTTAGAAAAAGCTAGAGGTATTGCCCGGGATCCAGAATAAACATCTCTAATTTATTTTAAGTACGTGCATAAAAATGTGTGCACGTCAAGGACTTAGAGGGAACTGGAGCCTGCATCAAAATGACTTCCAACAGGCTCAGGGATGCTTACTGGGTTTTTGGCCTCAAAGTATCTAAGCCTGCTTCCTACCTTTTTCTCCCACTCATTTTTCAGAGAATCACTGCTTTGATCTGCCATTTTCTTCAGCTCTGCGATTTGCTTCTCTTTGCTCTCAACGATGACCTGGGACTCCTGCAGCACACTCTGAACTGTAGGGAGAAAGAGGAATGGCTTTGACAGTAAATGCTTTAAATTCAACAATAGTCTACAGCTATATTGAAGGCACAGCTGGAGATCATCACTCTACACTAGAGTATAACTGAGAGCAATTGTATCTATAGAGCCTCTTTACACTGGTGCTGGTGACACAAGTGTAAACAGTCTCCCCATTCACCCCACACTTGAACTCTGACCTTTCCTCTCCAACTTTCGAATTGTCTCCTCGGATTGCTTCTGCTTGGCCAGGTATGTGCTCTTCAACTCTTCAATTTCGCTGTTCTTTCGGGCCAAAATCTGCAATAAAAATAAACCCTCATCATAAGTTGCTTAGATTCAAATACATTTATTTGAGCAACTTCTGTACATTTTAATTGAAGTATTGTTTATACTAAAAGGAATTGGGTTGTACATATATTTAAAATGTTGAAATACCTTCAGTTGTCGATCTTGAATTAAAATATAAATATTTATTAAAACAGATGTTTTAAATTAAGTTGGAATTTAGTGAGATTTCTTAAAATGGATCAGTAAAATGGATATGTCTACCAAAATTCAAGTATGGTACACACAATGGCTTGTTTAAAATATTCTAGTAATAAAAATAACAAATTAACTTATCATTAAACAGTTTTCACACTTGCTTGCATATATTTTTCAAATGAAGAAATTAGAAACTGTTTGAGAAGCAGCTGTTATGAGGTGGAATAAGGTAAGAGTTTTTACTTGGTGATACCATCTGTGTCTAATTAGTTAAATCAGGACACTGGGAGTCGGGGTTTTAGTACTGAGCAGCAGCAGCAGCAGCAGCATATCCTCTTTACTTGCAAGTTAAAACAGATTATTAAAGCAAGATCTAGATTAGTGTAACATACAGTAGTGAGCACTGTAGCACTCTGTAGTCCTACATTAAGGAACAAAAACTATGCCAGATGCAATTTTCTTATAGTAGCTCATTTCATCGATGGAATATTCTGACATTTGTAGTACTCACAGAGAATTTTACAGTGGTAAACATGTAATATACACAGCACTAAAACACATTTTGAAAATACAAGTATTGTGTATTCATGAATTTCAGCTTTCAACATTTTGAGGATCTTTGCCCTTTAAGAAGATATAATACATGTTTTATAAAAAGTAAAGGCTATCCAGTATAGACCAGATTTTTTCCTTGTGACCAGAAACATTACAACATGGTTAAAATATGCTTCTTTCTACCTTCTCAACATCTCCATCATGTCTCTGCTGCATTTTCAGTTTCTCCTCCTGGTGCTTGGCCTCCAGAACTTTCATCTTCAACTCAGCCTGGAAATAAAGTCACATCTCTTATTGAGCTCTTAATGAAACGCAAATGTGTTTACAGGTTGTGTTATCTCAATAAAAAACAAAAAGAGGTCTATGTTTAAAAACAACTGAATGACAAACTTTAAATACAGACTTTGGTGTCACTTCACTTTATGTAGTAGTCTAACCTTTGTCCTTCGGTGACAATATTACCGCATCAAAGCCATGCTCTAAGAAAATGAGTGATAGGGCACAGTGGCTTCTGAAAAAATGTATTAATTATATTGGTGTATTAACAACAATACTGTAGTATCAACTGCCAACATGTAATGCATCAGACAGAGGAAACCACTCACAAGTTTGCCTCCTTGCAAAGTATAACTTTGGCTGGTGAACTTAAGCTTAGACACTGGGAAATCTTCAGTGCTCAGTATAAACTAAATAGGTGGATGACAAAAATAGAGACTTTTTAGATCATTTCCATAGCCAAAAGACTCATGCCTAAGGTTATGCCAAACTATGTGTGCGCCATCAAAGTGCAGAGTGTTTTTGAAGCAGCCCTCTCTAGCTTCTCGCCTGTGGGTGGTGCAATGATAACAGCAACATATGGCTATTCGCACTCGAAAATGTAGAAGCATATTCCCGCTTGAGTTTTTCTTTTTTAATGTGATCATTTGGTTTCAATATTGTGGTTGTTCCAGCTTTATTATATTTTTTCTTTGAAGTAATAAAATAAGCATAACTTGTTTCCACACATGCAATATGGTTGAACACAAAGAGAGGCCCTGTATAAGGGTGACTGGTCAGTAGCTTTGATGGTCGTGTTTAGACACTGTCTGCTCTGGTGTGATAATCAACCCTGGAGCTCTTTGAATGTAGCGTCTGTGTGTGAATATGTCACTGGGGAACAACATCCAGAGGCTTGTTTGTTCCTGACATCAATGCCATTAAGACGAGATTCCCGTGACCTGGAGTCAATTGAACCACATCAAACATTAGTTTATTTAATAATCATAATGCACTCTGTTTGGCATTCCTACACCACAAGAGAGCACAACCAGAAAAAATACCCAAAATGAGATTAAACAAAGCACAAGTAGGAAAATCACCTGAAACACAAGCATGACTAAACGACAAAATCTAAACATACACTTGAAGCAGAGAACAGACAAATAAACATAATGTACCTGCCTTAAATGATATGGACTGTCAGTAATGTTTGCCAGTTGTTTGCCAATTATAGATTGTGAGTAAAAACTCAAAGACATGTTATCTTACTGATAAAAGACAATCACAATGTAGAGTCAGACACACTTGAAGACCTGCAACTTTTCTCTCTTCAACTCTCACACTGGTTGTAAGCAACTTCAGCTATAGATAAGAAGGATTCTGTGCATCCCTAGAAGTGTAATCAGAAGGAAGTGCAATCGGACTGAGAACTTCTATGGCAAAACAAAAACAATTAAGAGTTTAATCAATGGAAAACATAGGTAATATCATCCATCTACGGTGGTCCCAATCTAGTCTAGCTCAGGATCACGAAAGAAGGGGTCAAACACAAAGGACAAATTTCTCTAAGGGGAAAATAAATCATATCTTAACTCTGCACATGCAAACCCCTGTTCAAATGAAAATATCTGAAGCATAATTAACACACTTAAACCACAAATTAAGCCCCATCTCTGACAAAGCTGTTAGGTTTGTGCCTTTCATCTGTCTCTTTCTTGTGTATGTCTTATGCTATTGAAGGAGCCACAAGAGACCTGTCGAGGTAGAAGAAAGAGCAAGATAAAGTAGAAGGCATGACAGAATGAGATGGCAGTGATTGAAAAGCACATCACTGCAATAGTCCCTCCTGCCCCTCTGCCACCCATAACATAAAAAAATAAAAAAAACAGCACATGTGGGGGTGTCACTTTCACATCTGCTCTTCAAATGCTCTTTGGAGAAAGTTTGTCAAACTAGCAGGGGCGTTTGAAACTTGTTTATAAAGGCGTCTGTGATGGGAGAGGGAGGAGGGAACGTCGTACACCTAAAGCTTCAGAGATGTCTTCAATCAGCTTGACTGGGTGGCACTGCTTTCTTCTCCTCTCCCCGTCTTCTGAGTTGTAGCGCGCGCTGTAAGATGCCATGTTTTTTGACACTTCGCTCTTGAAAGGATAAAAGGAGTCGGAGAGGGAAACGGGAGAGGGAAAGCAAGGAGAAGAGTTTCTGTTTTTGGCTCGCGAAAAACCGGCGCGGGGTCAAGGCCCATCTTCCTCAAGGGGACGTGCTCGCAAATCGTCTGCTAACTGTTTAGGCGGCACAAAGCAAGGTTGTCGTTTGTGCTTCTCCTTGGTCTTGTGTGAGATGTACGATGTCCCGCAACCGCTTTCATCCTCTGTAAACACAGATGCTCTGGGATAGTCAGAATGCAGTCTGCCGCTATCTTCTAAAGAACAGATAGATGCCATTTCAACACTCAAGACGAGAAGTTAATTTACTGTCTCTTTATCCAGATAGAAGGATAAAAACTTCAGACACTTAGCCACAAGTTAACATCGACAACAAAGTTAGCATGATAAAACAACTGCTTCACAAAGATTAGGTTCACTGTAATTGTGCTGTTGGTTACAATTATATTAAATCCATTAAAGCTATTTCATGTACATTGTAAATAAACCCAACATGAGCTGCGAGATTTACAATTTTTTGTGATTTATGCTTACAAAGAACAATTTTGTTCAGAGAACAAAGAGTTCATTAAAAGATAGCCATTTACAACCTAAATAATTGAAATCTGCTTCTATACTAATTCATGATTTGTATTCAATTGCAATATATTATGCAGCCTTATAGCCAACAGCAATATTGCTTTTTTATTGTTGTAGCTGGATTGTGTGATAGGTCTTTGAGGTTCATGTCTACATTTGTGTGATAAAATGTAATTATCTTGGTGTTGAATACACATTCTAAAAATATTTAATTTCACAATTACTCTACACACCTTTTTTCATGCAAAATACAAAAATAAACCTAGGAGAGACTTTATCATGATGGAACAGTGCTGGTCTCTTGAGCTTGCTGGTCTCCTACAGCTTCATGAAAATCAAACTAGACTTCAGTTAGCCTTTATAGTACTGAGGCTCACTAGCTTGCTCTTTTTTGGCTTTGAATGACGATCAGATAAGACTAAGCCATGGCCCTCTAAATCACAAGCTGAGACCACAAGCCTTTTCCCTGAAGATTTGTGGATGAGCACGACTGGATCATTACTGCAGTGGATAAGGGAAGGGTCTTAGCTCCAGATCGAGGCTCGTGACCCTGAAGATGTGAAAGGCTGACACTAACAAACCCCCTGACTCACTGTGTCTAAGGCTAACTGTTCTAATGGAGCGTAGTAAAGACAACTTGTACAATAAAAACACTTAAACCCCTAGATGTGGAAGTCTATAGTCTACACTGCTGTTTGAAAACATGACTTGAACGTCAAAATATAGGCTTGTAGGTTTAAGTAAAAATAAGTGTGTTTACTATCTGTATGAAAATCGAGCAGTAGTGACATCGTGGTTGTAGAAAACAATCTTGTGTTTTTTTCGCCTTGTGTCCTGTAATGTCTCACTCTCGTATTGAAATTATGTACAATTCTGCCAACTGCATAGTATAATATTGTTGTGTGTAAATTACTAATCACAGTTTACATATTAAGGATCACCTGTTCAACATTAAAGCAAGTACAATGAGCCTAGATGTTTCACTCTGCCTACAGGCATCCAGCTGTATTTGCAGACCTGAGCTCATCGCTTGAACTTTAATTGAATTTATAAAAGCTCTGGTAGGGTGTGCTGGAGGATCAGTGGGAGTACGCTCCTGCCAGCCACTTTCCTCTAGTCAATCGCCCACAAATGCAGTATAAGCTAAATGACTCAGAACTATGATCACTTATGGAAATGTTACTCAGCTGCCACTCATTATTCCATAGGAAATGTACAGTCAGCACTCTTATCACTCTCACTTAGCTTAGCTCTTTGTGAAAGCTGAGATCTTGCATGCATAATAACATTTGGTTAGCATAACGTTTTAAATCCAAGATCAATTTTAAGCTGGGCTAGGCAGATTAAGTGGAAGTGATGTCAGTGATTGAGTGGACCGCCATGCACTAACAAGGGTGGGCATGGTTCCTGGTGGCGCAATAGAAAACTTTAATGTGGCCATTGAGGATAAGATGGCTAAAGAGGGATTTGTGGCTCAGGTCAGAGCTGAGAGGAAACGTGTGTGTGGTCACAGCTGTATCCTGAAGTCAAGCACTGCCCATATCCATATAAGCCACTTTTAATTGCCAATACTGACACTTGATACAGATTAAATATAACATCACAAAATCTGCACCTGAAGGGGCATCTGGCCCAAAGACAATTGGAAATCAGTTCAACAGTAAAGGTTTCAAAACCGTAATTCTACACTTTATTGTAATATATAATATCTACCAGTATTCAACCAGTAACAAAGCAATCGAGCAAAAGGCCTCAAAATCATAATTTATTTTCTTATATTACTGCGGATATGACAGTCTAAACAAAACATTTCTTTAAAATATAGTTACATTTAAGAATTTGCAAATAACCTTGCCAACTTGTTTAACAACTGGGTGAAGTTTATAGCTCCAATTCCATTTTTGTTTGGCAGGTATGGCATATCGGTCACTGAGCAACCATACTGTAACTCATCTGACACATTTATGATTTGACAAATATAAATTATGACACCTCCTTTTTGCTAAATTAATGTTAAGTTCAAAAATTGTTCCTATATTTAAGATGGAATTTCAGGATGAAAAGGAATTAATTTTTAGAACCAATTTTAATATTTTTCAACTCTTTTTCAAGTTAGGTGCCAACTACACACAATCCCACTTGACTGTTGTAAAACAATTATATAATACTTATCACCAAACAAAGCAATAGATAGACTCAACCTGTTTTAAGCAACTATGTACTCTGTGTACTTGAGTACTAACCTTGTTTCCAGTTTTCATGTTGACATTTATATGAAACAATTAAAAAAAATACATCAAGACATATTCTAATGGGAGACTAGCAAAATATAGCAGAATAAAGTTGGCATCAGGTTGAGTATCAGCTCTCATGAGACAGAGCACATTCATATTCTCACCACACACAGCTGTATGGAGCCAATCAGCAACTCAGAGGTAGGATCAAACAGAATGGGACGCTGCTTAATGTTTTCGTATTGGTGCTGCTAGCTCCAATTCAGACAGACAGGTACCGACACATGTGAAGGAGGTATGTGTGGTCGCAGATATCAAATGTAAACATCATAATGGGAGGGCAATAACCAATGGCTATTATCCTTTCACTTTTTGCGCTGTCTTCCTCAGTTCTTTGCCCTTTGCAGCTGATCTAACTGAAGTGTAGACATGAAAAGCTGTGGATATTATAGCAAAGTCATGCTCAGTTTTATATTTAACATTGCAAGTGAATGTGGATAATGGCGGCGGAGGGAGCGTGGAGTTGTTCGGGTGAGGTGGGGAGGTGCAGAGGGGACTTCAAAGCATGCTTTCAGAATGGGATTTTCAGCTTAAATCCACATAAGGGAAAAACTGTCATCACCGCGAGTCAGCAGTATTTTTGTCTTATGGAAGGAATGCTCAGCTCGGCCATTTAAACAACACGCGAGTATGCACACATGCCCACTGAGAAGGTCGAATACTCTGAAGTCAAGGGGGCTCTGACCTATAGATGAGATAAGTGATGGTATGTTACAGCAATGGGACACAGAGCACACAATTTGGACTATGTCTGTCCACCACTCTGCCGACAAAGTGGTCCCAAAGGTTCACCAGCCTGTGTGATATTTGTGCCAGTGCTGAGCTCAGATAATGGGCTAAGACCTGTGTGCACCACTTAACACTACAGGAATTTTATGTGATGTGGTCAGCTTAAATAGTTCAGTTTCTTGCATACCTCATTGTTCAATGCAACCGGTGGAATGTGGTCCTCAGCAAATGAACTGTTTGCTCCAAAGCTTGACTTTAAAATCTGAAATTAAAAAGGAAAAGGCGATTGTGATATGTGATAGCACTGCAAAGGCTGAAAAATGTTAATTAGGGATACTGCATGGGGATGTAACTTCATACAACAACTGACAGTGTTTTAATCATAAGTTAAAATACTTAAGTATAAATGAAACAATACATTAATTACATTTACATTAATGTAAAATGTGTAAATTTTTAAAATATACTGCTGCCAAATAGACAACTAAAACAGAAACTAGAAGGAGAAAACTTACAGGGGACAAAGGAACAGGCTTCTCTCGCAAATATCTAGGGTTCTCAATCTAAAAAGAAATGAAAAGTATACACTGACAGTGAGATCAGTAATAAATCAGGTCAAATCAACACAAACATGATAACGTACTTCAGCCTACAGTATATTAGCAAAATATTAGACTAGTTGTAAAAACATGCAGAAGGTAAGCGTTTTGTATATTTGTGCATTTGTGAACAGCCTGTGCTTTTGTCACAAATGAATTTAACAAAAGTTAGATTTTTGTCTTGTTCTGCTCTTGTGGTGCTTTGACCAATCAGATTCAAATGATAAGTCACAATGTTCTACGTGTTGCTGTTTGCTTTCAGGGAGCACCATCCCAGATTGATGTGTAGAAGTTCAGAATGCTACACATCTCACATCTGGCGTGAGCCAGGTTAATTGGGGCACCTCCACCAGAAAACTTATAGCGAACCTTTAAATTCAAAATGGTCAATTGTTGTCTTCCAGTATCTTGAGCTTTATTTTAGTCTTCTGTACTGTGGGGGAGTTAAGTGAAGCCTCACATTATGGCTAGTATCTCCTCTCACACTCCTGACTTCTAATAGTGACAGATAACACACTTGCACTATCTAAAGAATATCTGTGTGTGTGGCCCGCTATGTTTCAGCTGTGCCTCTCTCATCACTAGACTACTAATCTGTCCGCTTCCTCGCTCCGTTTACTCTTAAAGAGACTGAAGCATTGTGTCCTTTGATAACTACACACTAGCACTAAACCCACAGAAAAACAGACATTTTCCAATTCATTACCTGACATCTAAAATTGACCCCATTACATTGTTGTGAACTCTTTAACTCTCAGCGCTGCTCAGTTATGCACTCAGGCTGTCTGTAGGGGCTGCCAAACTAGCGCTAAGATCACAGTCGCTCAAAGCTACAGAGCTGACTTTGGAGATGACAGCAATGACGCCCAGTAAACAGTTGTACAGCTAATCTCTTCACAACACCGGGATGAAGTATGGGAGAAAGCGGAGGAGAGAAAAAAGCAGTAAAGTAAGGCAGGAGGGTGACGAGGGACCCATTCAGCGCAAAGTAAAAAGAGAAGGCACAACCCACGCAAGCTAATCCAGAATGAATGGTGGATAAGAGGAGGACCTGAAAGAACCCCTGCGCTGGGACTAATATAGTTAGTGCTACTGTACATGTAATAGTCACAATGTGCTGCTCGTGGGGGAAGCGGTGACAGGTGAGGCAGATGAAAAACCAGGGCTCAGGGCTAAGCCAACATGACGCAGGAAAAAACGGGTCAGGTGCTGTAAAAAAAGGAGGAATGTTGTAAATCCTCAACACATCCAGTCTCTGTGCCATTGTTTTGCCTTTAAAATCCTCATAGAGAATAAGCTACAGTCTGATGTCTGCACTGGAGAGAAATACAATATTTTCTATCTTCAATTCAATCTTTTTTAAGAACACATAATATCTGGTTCATAGTAAGTAATTATATAAAATAATAGTTTAGTAGCATAGTTTTTCTACACCATTTTATAGATCTATCTCTACAGCTGGGCATTTGATAAAATTTTAACTGAATACAGATCAAATCATTTCAACTCGTCAATGATCCATTTGTATTAGAGAGGTCTGTAGCCAAACCTGTGTCAGTGTGCATACTGAAAGCCAACTTTATTATCTAATAAAAATGCATGAGTAATCACACATTTGGGTATACATTTGCCTATTGAACCTCAAATAAATATACAATTTCATTAAAAAGACAGAATATGCATCTATAACTACTAGTACAGTGTGCTAGAACTTGAAATTTGTTCACATTCATGGTTTTACTTTTTGTTGCCCATCAGTACAAATGTGTAACTGTGGGCCATTTGAATGTCAAAATATGAGGCAGGTGTAGATTCTTTTATGTATTCACAGACTCAAGTACTTCAGAATATACCAGTATGGGCCGCTACAGACCTTCAGAGAATGTTTTAGATAGGCTGGCGTTGCAAGATTTTCCCTCAATCATTTGAAGAAGTATCTCCAAAAATGTGCTTAAAAGGGGTTTGTGGGTCTGTTTTGGTGAGTGAGGAACATCTGTTGATTTGAAAGATGCAGGCTGCAGGGAGAGTTGCCAACACTGTGTCTTATCAGCGTCTCAACAGAAGAGCGTGGAGAGAGGAGCACTGTGTAGCCACATGTCGGCTGATAGGTGCCTCCGATTACTCACCCAATAAAGGCCAACAACTAACAGTGTAGAGAGGGTGGGCGAAAAGAGTGAAAACAAGTGGAAAGGAAATAAATACAGGGTTGCAGTGAGTAGAATATGCTAATGATTAATTCATATAGTGCTATTGTGGACCCACAAAAATATAGGGGTGGGCGATATGCCAAGAAAGATTTTTATCACAATTAGAGCTTAGATCCCAATTTCAATTTAATCACATTTCAGGCATACTTCTTGTCATGGAAGAACATTTTATTCTATTGATACTTGCGTTGCTGCGTTCCATGAGGGTGTGATGTTTGTTATATTTTAATCTGAGCTTTGCTTAACTCTGGCCATAAAGAACTGACTGGAACTACAACAGGTGAGCTGATTTTGTGCTGTTAAACAAGTCCCTCTCAAAAAAACACAAGCCAGCAGTCACAATTAGCCAACAGTTTTTCAATTGGTCACTCTCACCTTTTGGGTTGAAAATCAAAGACCTAAACAGGACCATGAACCCTCGTATTGATCGCACACTCTTGAAAATGTATTGTTTAAATAAATTTTGTATTTTTTTGTAGTTTTCAGATCTAAAAACTTGATAGATATACACATGTAGTACACCTCCCGCGTGATTTCACTGTGAAGTACCAATACACAAAGAGATATATACTACTTTACACCTTTATGTGTGAATAAGGTCCAACTCCATTAAAACAAGTTTTGAGTTGATCCCCTTGTATGTGCAGAGCTGTGACATGTTGATGCAGACATGTGAGTGTGGGGCTAGAGGCATGCCCCTGCACTCACCCCCAGGTTCCAGCTGTTAAGTCGCGCCTCCAGGTCACTGTCAGCTGAGGACACATCCACCTGACAACAACACACACATGTACAGCCATTTAGAAACAAAAACAAAGAGAGAAAGAGTTTCTGTTTGTCTTTTGATGATGTGAAAGTGGAGAAATCAGTCTGACACAGTGTAATTCTTGGCTTGACAAAAAAATTAAATATAAACATTTCATATATCCTCCCACATGTGCATCATCCAAATAGTCATCTCCATCTCTCCTCTCATTGCTCTCCCTCCCTCCCAACAAAATGCATAGCTCCAGATGTTTTGCAGTTCCACAATATTTTTGTCACACAGAATTCCACAAGAGGGAGACATCCTTATGGCTTATTGTATCCTCCTGCCCACTGACAACAATTGTAAAGAATATTTTACCCTGGGCTGTTTAAAAACAAATGTGATACTGAATTTTAGTATGCATGTCTCTTAGTCACAAACACAACACAACACAGTCAGAAAAGACAGAATAAAATAATGAATTCTCTTCACTACTCACTATTCCAGCATGGTTTTCCACTGGTCGTTTCAGAGGACTAGAGGTCACAGGTTGGGAGTGGGACCGACTCTTATCATCATAGAGTCTTCGCCTAAAAAACAAAAGACACAATTTTGCAATGAAATGCTTGCCACTACAGGGCAGTCTCCACCAAACCTCTCATATAATCTGTGATGCCAAACTGGTTTAAATAATCTTAAATATATATTTCATATATAATTCTAATTCTCTCTGTAAACCTTAGACACACTCAGAGCTTTGACTAAACTAGCATACTCATTAAGAGCAGCCACATGGGCCATAATGACCTACTAATGCTAATGTAATGAAGATGTTAGAAAAGCTGAGAAAAAGATGTAGGGCAAAAAGAAAAAAAATGTATATGACTCTTATTAAAACATCAAACTGTTTTCTAGAGGGTGCAGTTTGTTTCTCAATACGCTATAGGCAATATTTATTTTTAGAAAGACGCAGTAAAACAACCAATCAACAAGGTTTTCAACACAGCTCTTACTGTAAACATGTAGGGCCTTTTATTGTCCATAGCTTTGTTCAGCTCTTACACAGATGCACACACCTGTTATGCACATGCAGCCTTGGACCTTAGATTTGGGGGCCAAGCTTTGCAATCTTTGGCCTCTAAGTCAACAGGTGGATGAGGATAATTGAATCAGATGTGTCTGGAGTCTGAGGCCCAGAGATCAAAGCAATGGCAAGTGAGGCCAGAACTACACACACATGCACACAAGCAGAAGACATGAGCGGTGCAGTCTCAGGAGCAGAGCTTTGGCTGATTAAAAAGGCCTGACATCTATGCTCCAGTCTGACCTCCAGGTGCAGAACTATTGGACCCAGACCTGGGCCTGGGGCACCCCCAGAACAGTCCTCTGACCTTGGGAAACAAACAACCCCTAACCCCTGCTCTCCTACTACTCTGCACAAAGGGCCAGTGGTCCCTGCACGCAACAGTAAAACTGGTGTAGACTTGAAGTCAAGAAAGTTCACACATGCATGCTAAAAAGCTCACACAAAAGAAAAAAAAAATGAATGACTGTTAACCAGTAGTGACAAAAATATATTTTTGTGAGGAAGTTTAGTCTAAGTTTAGACATGTTTAAGGCAATAAAGGCCATGGACTCTGGTTTACCACCTCATTAGTTGAGAGAAAGCCATCCCATTCTCATGCATCTCCTTTCTTGTAAACAGCCATGTGGCTCTATCTTGTGGTGGAAGAAAGAATAACACAAAGTAAACCAACAGGTAAACAAAGCAAAGGACCAAATACAGAATAAAAATATCCCCTGCTCTCAAATTGTCTGTAATTATTAAAATGGACTATGTTTGTCTCCTAGTCAATATAAAGTGAGATTTAAAGCTGCCACATCACAGGGAGGGCCTAGACAAGTTTTCAACATAATCTCATCTAAATGAGAAACATAAAAGGACTCATGCTCCAGCTAATTTTCTCCATCAAGATTTCAGTCAGTGATCTGAGCTTCTTTTATCATTCAAAAAACCTCAATCAGGCATACCCTGCTCCTTGCATACCCTCTAGTGGGCAATCAGATTTCTGATGACCACGTTTTTTAAGAAAACAAATATATGTTTTATTATAAAGTCTTATTTATCTATCCTGAAATTTACGGTAAATGTAAAACTCAAAAACCATAGTGTTTTTTCTTTTAAGACTATGACTACCCCCAAATATATTTGTATAAATATAAATAAATCTGAATACATTTGTAAAACAAATATATTTTCTTAACTGAAAATATTTTATATTATTCAATATATGATGTATGAAAACAAAAACAAAACTTGTGTCACCATAGACCCCTTTATTAAACAGTGCCTTGTTAAGGCAGCTGTAGTGTAAATATATATTAAGGTGCAGAGAACTATGGAATAATGAGAAACAGAAACAGAAACTGGCTATTTACAAAAACAATAAGAAAACTGTAACATTTAACAAGAAAAACAAACACAGTGAATGCCATATAATAAAATGGGTCTTAACAATATAAAAAATACCCTCTTGGCATTTGCATAGTCGGAGGATAATGTCAATCATGCACAAGAGAAAAAGGGTCATTCTGTGTTCTCTTTAAGTTACATTGGAAAACTGCCTAAGTATATTTATAAGTTATAGAAGATTAAAAGTGTCCCCCTTTCTTATATCCCTCTCTGAAATATGTCTTTTTAGAAGTCAGATTGGACAGCTCAGGCATGTGATGCAAGGCACTAGCAACATTCTTTCACATTCACAGTAAATATATAATGGCCAATCTGCATAGGTCTGCTTTTAATGTTTTCATTTTGATTTAACAAAACATTGGAAGTGCTCTCCTCTGTATCTGTACAGTTATTAGCAGACAGAAAGGACCTTTTATGTTTTTTGTTTTTTTTTACAAAACCTTTTACCAACAACTAAACAATGTAAAATTAGAATATTCTTATCTCTTCAGAGTGAGCAACAAGTCAAATTTTACTTTAGCAACATAGGGCATCATTATAAAATTACAGAATGCCTCGGTTTCAAATATTCTAATCATTTATCACTCGTGGAAGTACCATACATTTTTAGACAATGGTTGTGGTCAGTTGTTGTTTCACATTACAAAACTGCATTTCTTTCTTATATTTAAACATATTATATTTGTTTTTCTTTATTATTTTGTTCATAAAGTAAGACTCTATTAGCCCAAGCACAATAATATAAAAAGATCTGTCAACACAGTTCTCCAGCATAGTTTTAAATGGCCAAGAGCTGTCAAACTACAAAAGAAACGAAAAAGTAAACATTACCTGTGCTGTGGTGTCCGAGTGCTGTTTTCCAGGTGTGTATTCCAGCTGTCATCATCAAAAGCCCCCAGCTCTCCAGTCACCCAGTCAGGAAGATTTGTGTGGTTTTTAATACTCACTGGCTCATCAAAGTAAATGGACTAAACAAACATCTGTGTCAACATCTGTAGGTAAAATTTATACTTTATATTGGTTAGTGGTCGTTACCATGTAGGTAGGCAGCGTTTTGAGAGTTCCAGGTTCAGGTTTATGGGTAAAGGGCCGATCCAGGGCCCCCCTTTTGAGCATCTGAAGCAACAAACGCGCATAAACATTTCGGTTTTTCCGACCCAGCAAACCAGAACCACACGCGCCTGGGTCACACAGCTTTTTGATCCAAATGGCACAATACTGACGCCCTGTGGCAAAAGGGAGAAGCAAAAGAAAACGGATCAAACGTTTTTTCCATCTCACATTCACGTTATCAAGGATAACGGTATACAACCAGTACTTTGAGGAGTGTTACCTTTCTTATCTGGATGTTTCAACACATACGGCTTCATGTCCAGTAAACAGTGGTCAAACTCTGTGTCCAGCCGCTCCCATGAATCCTCGTGATTGCTCATTGTTACTTAAACGCTAGCTAGCTTGAGCACAGGAGAAATGAAGACAAACTTGCTGAGGAAGGCACATAATTACCATGATAACAACATTAAAGTAGTTACTATTGCGAGGAAAGCAAAGCTAACGGAGATGCTAGCGCAACAGGTTTACAATAGTAAGTGGATGTATTTATAAAATATAGCAGAGGGTAAATAGGTACACGTACTTCCTTCATTAGCCCGTAAATGAAATAATGTTAAGAAGATACATTCAATGCGTTACCATAAAACATATATCCCAAACAGTGATTTCGCCGCTAAAAAGTGTTCAAAAGAAAGTCATGGAGTACGCACTACGCCATATCCGTTTCCGTGGAGACGCAGCGTCCACCGTTGCCATAGTGATTACACCAGACTGCAGTTTTGCCCTCTGATTCAAAATCCATTCTCCTCTAATATACATGCATATACCTCCATAGATATAAAATAACTCCATATATATGATACATTTTTACACAAGATCCATGCGTTACACACACTGATGAACCTTTTGAATTAAATATCACAGATACGGATGAGGCTTGAACTTAGTCAAAATGTCCCTGTCTAGACATTTGTAATTCATGATGTGTAGTGGTATAACCATCTTTAACCATTGTACTTTTTATTAAAACAATTAACTTTTTTTTTTTTTTTAAATATTGATTTCAATACTTGTAATACATGTCATTGGCCATAGAGAGGAGCCCTGCACCTGCTTTTCTATTGCAAAGTTTTCTCTAGCTCATGAGAGGCCGCGAGGTTGCATTCAGGAACATATTGTTGCAGCAATTTCCCCAAATTGTGTAGCAGTTTGTCATACTGATTAATTATTGACTGATTTAAAGTTTAATAGATAAACAAAAGCACTGTAATGCGATCTTTTATAAGTTTACGCCCTAGGAAGGTCTACACTCTTGGACTCCTAATAAATCTAAAACGGCTCGGACAGATGGCGCTTAAGGATGCAGTATAAATGCAGTATGAACACTAGAGTTTGCACAGCACCCAAAGTGACGTCACGGTGAGTGAAAAAGAAGCGCTCACTCGAGGTCCAGGCAAAAGAGGAGGTGGTGCGCGGTTGGTCCGTCAGCAGCGCTATCAACACGAGCATCATCTACCACTACAGCAGAGGACACCTCGCAACAGCCAGGATATCACCCATTTGTGTACTTTTATTATGGCCGACCATCTTTTGCATTACAATGACTCTGCTAGTGTTGGAAACAGGTTCGCGCGTAAAGGTGCTTTGCGGCAGAAAAATGTCCATGAAGTGAAAAACCACAAATTTACAGCAAGATTTTTTAAACAGCCGACGTTCTGCAGCCACTGTACAGATTTCATATGGTAAGTAAGAACCAGATCGGAATTTGTTTCAGTTTTAGTCTTAAAGTATTTAGCAAGCTTTAAAAATGTGACAGACTTTGCTTCCCGCCTGACGCGTGTGGTCTCTTTTTGCAGGGGATTTGGAAAACAAGGATTTCAGTGTCAAGGTATGAAAGTTTACATTCACTGAAAATCTTTAAATTTTCTGTTTGTAAAAATAACTTGCAACACAAGTTTCTGAAATAACAATTTATTCAATATGCTTTTTTTTTTTTAAAAAAAGTAACAGTTTACAGAAGTGACACAAGGGCACAACTTGGCATCATACTTTGTTAAACATCTGGATCGTAGGACATTTTAGAGGCCATATAACGGTTTGACACGTAACCATTTCTTGCCTGGATAACATATCTTGGAACGGGGTTTCTTGGTTTTGTGTGAGGATTTGGTTGAATGCTGAGCTCTGCGTCGCTTTTAGGCACATGCATCAGGTTCTTGTAGTCCACTGGGCCATAGTTTGTGTAGAACCATGGACGTGACCCTGCAGGGATGTTGGCCGTCTGGGTGTTTGTTGAATAGCCTGGAGGGGATCCCTGTTGCACATTATTCACAGGTCTATTATAAGCACCTCCATAATTGTGAACTTTTTCAGAGGGGTTTACGTTGTAAAATTGTGGTCTTCTGTTGTTCACACCATAAAAAGGATTTGAGCCCACTGGTGACAAACTGTACCAAGCATTTGAAGGTGGCTGTGAGGCGCCCTGTGGGACTTGGCTGTTGTAAGGGTGTGGTGCGGACGGAGGGACAGGCCACAACACTCTACCCCCCTCTTCCTCCTCCTCCTCCCCCCCTTGAGACTGTTGACTAGGCTTCATAGGAAAAGTGATGGGTTTATCACCACTCTGGGAATTTTGATCTGGTACAACTCTATAGAAGAACCTGTGCACATTTCGGGGATATGTGGCCGGTTTATCATTCGTGTTAGATCCCTGTGGAGACTGGTTCTCAGAATTGTCTGGTTTATGAGGTGGCTCATCATTAACAGGTTGAATGGGACTGCCATCATCAAACGCCAAGTCCCGTCCACGCGAAGCGTCAGATGTGATCACGTCACTGTGGTGCTTGTCCTCACCATGATGCTTGTCCTCATCATGAAGATTAATTTTGTCAGGTAGAAATCTGTATACAGACTCTGTAGAAAGAGTAATAGTCAGTTGACAAATCAAGAAAGGGAAACATAAAACTGGGTACTGACTGGGAGCTACTCGTCCTATACTGCCAGGTAACAGCAATACACTGAGCAAGACAACCCTGAAAAACAAGGAGATGAGGACAAAGACAAAATTACTCCATCTTAATTAAGATTATCAGCAGAAGTTATCCATGTTTGACAACTTCAAGCTACATGTTAGAGAAAACTAAAAGACATTCTGCATTCATAATTTGAATTTAGTGCACAATTAGAAAAGTAATGTTTGTAAATTTGTGCTTAAAGTTCAATTCTATTCAGCTACTTCTAGCAAATGGAACAGACTGAAATCTGGAGGTCTAACAAATCAAAATTAAGTTTAATAAAATACATCTACAACAATCATAAGCCTAAAAAAGGTATTTTTTCACTTTACATGTCAGCAAGGACACATTCTGGCATCAATTGCCTGCTCAGCATTTCTTGGTAAACAGGACATTTTAGAAGCCAAATAAAGCTTAATTAAAATATATCTGCAAAAACCATACACCTGAAGAGGTCTTGTTTTAACATGTGAGGAATAGTTATATTCAATATTCAAAGCCTTACCACAAAAAGAATCCAGGAGCCATGTCTGGTGTATCTGAGTAGCAGGAGTCCTCTGAGTCCTCTGAGCTTCCCTCTGTCTCTCTGCTCTTTTACATGGACCTGTGTCATTAGCTGCAGCTGAGGCCATCAGGGGCCAAAGTACTTGCAGGTGTGGCTCTGCACCAGCTGCACCATCGTGTCAAACTTAGGGTGACCAGACATCCCTATTTACTGGGGACAGTCCCAGTTTTGAGCCCTGTGTCCCATGTCTCAGCAGATTTATCCAAAATTAGTGATTTGTCCCAGTTTTATACAAGAAATGTCCCAGGTGTCCCTATTTTTGAATAATCTGATCCCTGCCAACAATAAAGAGAGGCATTAATTGTCATTTGTTTAGGTAAAATACAGAAAAGCTGCTGAAAAATGACAAAGGCACAAAGAAAATGTGACTAGACAGACTCACATTAGTGCCAAGAGCATAACAATTTTCCTTAATTACACAATTTTATTATTACCAAGCAACCCAAACCAGGAATGTCCCAGTTTTTTATTTTTAAAATGTGGTCACCCTTGTCACACTGTCCCTTAAACCTATCCATGTTCTCTGTTTTGTATTTTAGAGAAGGCATGAAACCCATACCAGCTCTGCACCATCATGTCAAACTGTCCATTAAATTTATCCATACTCTCTGTTTTGTATTTTGGGAGAGGCATGAAATCCACACCATCTCAGCCAGTCCTTATGTGGACATCTGATACAGTGGCAGTGAAAGGGGAGCCAGCACGTCAGAAAGGATAAAGGCATTTGTTCTTCAGACAGACAGGGATAAAGCGACAGGTTAGCAGTTTTGATGAGTTGTAAATACAATTTGTTTTTCTTTGTAATGTACTGCATAGGTATATATACAGCACACAAATGGCTGCAGTGAACATGAGATAAAAATAAATATATATTTTCATATTCATATGTACCATTGATGTATTAGGGATGTCAAAAAAAATCAATACCCAGATATTCACTGATACAACTAGTAACCATAAACTTTTCTTATTTGAAGCAACCATACTGAAAGAAACAGAAAAATAAAACCAAATTCGGCTATTCATGAATAGTTTAAAAATTGTCTTGAGTATTGCTGGAGTAGATGCCACAAATATTTACTGTAGAAAATTACATCAATGTCAATCTAACACCCTAAAGCTGAAAATTTCCTAAAAAATGGTTTGGGACAGTGTCATGTTTCCTTTGGAGTTTAAGTTTGTTTACATTAGCAACTACAGTAGAACTCTATTATTTTTATGATTGTAATGAGATCAAAGTCTTTATTAATTATCAAGATCTGTTGCAAAATTGTAAGTATTGTGACAACACTAGCACCTACGGAAAAAAGTATTCTTCCTGTTGACTGAAATAATTGGCAGTATTTAGATTTATTGAACAAAAATGACCTAACTAACTAACCCACTAACTAACCCCTGGGCAGTACTGAAACACCACATGACCTACAAGTCATTAAACGTATGGGTGAAATAAGATCTTTGTGTCCGTTCCAGGCTGAAGTGCATGTGGAACGTAAATAGGAAATGTCCCATACTGAGTGTACTTTGTCTCTTGTTTTAAGCAGACTTGTGGGTTTCAGAGGAAGGTGTCACACTGCAGGCTTATGTTTCAAAGGGATGCTTCACAGTGAGAGGCCAACAGCTTTAATTAACTCTGCACCACACAATGTTATACACCTTATCTCCCAAATGCGCAACCACTGGCACTTTTCAATTGTGAGTAGTTGTACACCTAATGTGTATGCAAAAGTGTAACAGTAACGCTTGCATAACTGATGACATAAATGATCATTTGATGGCTGTAAATGAGTTATTAGAAGTAATGTATTGCTATTTTGAGATATTTTGATTACTCCCTGGATAATGTCTAATAAATGCAGAATGGCTTTAGATAATTGAAATATATGCATTTTAGCTTTATGATACTCATAATTTTGTGTTGTGTAAACATGTTCCTTTTAGTTTCTAATATTAAAAATGAAAAGGTTATATTCTTTACTTACAACAAAGGAAATCCTGTAATACTAGGTGATGTCGAGTGAAAACACTATATTTGTTATATTGTCGTCATACAGTTTCCTAATATATTTTTGTCACCACTGACATCAGGTACTTAAATAACAAAACTGAAAGGCTCCCTAGGCTTCCCTTTGCTGAAAGCTGCTATACGTTTTCAATTTCTTGTGTAATTTCTCAACCTCCACAGCACAACAGCGAGCAGCTAAAAGTAGTGCCTCGCTCCCGGAAATGTCTTTATTACAGAAGTGGCTGTGTGGGAGGAGAAGGGAGCCTGTACATTTCCAAGGTGACAAGTCCATAAAGAAAACAGTTCTCCCTTGGTCATTATGTAGGATGTAGGTATGGTATGTCCCCAGGACGCAAGCCACCACAGAATGGATCAAACATGAAAGGCCAAGCTCAAGTTGAATATTTTATGAAGAATATTAATTCTAAAACTGGCCACTTAGTACCATTTTTCAATTTTCAGATTCTGTCTTTGAAGAACATGGGTAGTTAGCGTTCCCATTCTGAAGTTGTTATACCATTTAATCTACGCAGAATACAAATGATCATTGTCAAGTGAAATATCATTGTATAGTATAGTCTAGAGACCAGACATTCTACGATTAAAAGGTGCCCTGTGTAGCTTTTATAGTAATGGGTCCCGCATCTGCTTGTCTGTACAAAGATGTTATTCTTTTTCCTAGAATGTTCCTCAATATGGCATTAAACAGTAAACATCCCTAGGTTATTTCTAGGTTATTGTCACCTGATTCATCAGCCAGTTTCACTTCGTGGAAACTGTCTGACCTCGCAGCATTAGAATTCATTCGCTCGACGGTAGGCGGGTACTTTTTTATTTAACCAGTTGCGGCTATTTGGTTGTGATGTATGTAATGTTCCCAAATCCCGTAGGAAGAAGGGCAATTATGTCTTTCCCCTTGATAAAATTCACCAAACATTCTCTTTGTTCCGGCTTTAAATCCTCGATCTCGAGAATCGTTGCCAACACAGAATGTATGGATCTTCACTGATTGGCTGGTGCCCAGACTCGCACTTCCGGGGTTCTTGCAAACCGTCTAGTGTATTCCGATTCCTGACCTAGTCACTGGAGAGAAATGAAATTGAACGGAGGCACTAGGTGACGCCAGCCTGGCTAAGATTATTGCAATAATAGTTCTTTTTTATTCGCAAATTTAGCAGGATAAATTAAGCAAAATTATTTATTCCTTTCCTCTTGATTGCTTATGGACTTGGGAACACATTCAAAGCTGCGTCGTGTTCTGGAAATTACAGGAGCAAGAACACTCCCAGAAGTAATTGTGACAAAAATCAATGCGCATGAAACCACCACATTTTGGAGTTAAATTTAAACAGATCTCACATAATCCATTTCTGTTAGTGCTTTGTCAGGGCATCTCATTGAAACTTGGTGTAAAATGAAGGTGTGATTTCAGCATCCATGCCCCCCTCCTCCTCCCCCTCTGCTCCAAGTCCCTCTGCCTTTGAAGCCCAACGTCTGTGTAGATGACAGTGCCATCTGGAGATCTGGAAACCACGGCCTGGTAGTAGCACGCCTCGTCTGGACACCGAAAGTGCCTCGAGGGAGGATATATAGAGAGAGAGACGATAAAGAGTTTGGAAATACGATGATGCAAAGGTGAGGACAGGTCCACGCCAGAGAAGAGGGCAGCAGTGACAGTGACGGTGAAGTCAACAGCTCTCAGCAATTTTGTGTTCAGACGTTTGAGCTTAAACTGCAGCAGAGGCAAAAGTGTAGCTCTTCAAACAGATAAGACTGAGGGTTCTTATGTGGACAGAGTGTGCAAGTCAAGCTGTAAAATGAAGTTGATCCACCACTTACAACTGTGACAGTAATGTGCCTGAGGTTGTTGGTTCAAACCTCAAGCTAATATACAGACTCTGTCATCTTGTTTTGTTTGGTAAATTAAATGCTATTGTGACCAAATTACTATTTTTGCTGACATTATCTTACTTTTAAACCCCACTAAGACTCATAGTTACATGTATTATTTTCCCGCACCAAATACGTCCTTGCTGGCTAAATGAAGACAGTCGAACGTACATGAGATGTGTTGATGAGTGAAGCATATTCTAATAATGCTAAATGCTGTTGTTTGTATTTGCTCTTTACTTGATGTTGTCTATGTGTTTATATATATGTTTATTATCTTTATGTTTATTTTTAATGCTGCAATATTATGATTTCCTATAATCAGAGAGGGAAAGTAACTAATTGTTTTACTTGTACTTAGGGCTGGGTGTCATTGAGAAGATACATACCTTTATACATAGGCCACGATATAAGGATCTCGATATATTTCCATTCGATTCGATACGATACGGTTCAATAAAAAATCAAGGCTGTGATACTAAAAGTCTAAAAGTCAAAGTTCATATGAAAAACGCTAATATTATTGCTCAAAACAGTGAAAAAAATGAGTTTCCTTCCTCTAAACAAACAACAAAACTGTAGCGCTGTAACAAAATCATTTTGTAAAATATACCTTGGCGATATATTGATACAGCAGCCCATGATATCTTCACATTAAATTATACGATATATTGATATTTTGATATTTTTGCACACCCCTTCTTTTAATACTGTAATTGTAATTTTTAGAGTAGAATTTTAAACATTTTGTAGTTAATTGAGTATAATAATAATAATTCTACCATGTAATTGTAATTTGTTTAATTTAAAATCATAGGAATTAGTAAGCACAATTTAAGTCCCCCAAAACCCCAAAGCACAGTGGTCTCACTACTGTGACGATCTCTGTGCTTTTCTATATCTACAAACACGCATAATGGCACTGCATTGCTGATTGGCCAGAGCTCAGAAAATATGCAGATTGCAGTTTAATTTTTCACTTAAGTTAAAGGAGTTATCCAAAATGCTACAAAAAAAAAAAGTATGAAGTACTTTGTACCTTTCCTTTCATAATTGAGTACATATTTAACCATGCAACTGTAGTTTTACTTGAGTACAAACTTTCATTCCCCTATGACTGACTGGGTGTAGGTTGTTGCACCA